TGGTGGCTCACACCTGTAACCCCACCACTTGAGAGGTTGAGGTAGGAGGATTGCCATGAGTTTGAGGCTAGCCTGGGGTACATAAGCAAGTTCAAGGCCAGCCTGCACTACACAGTAAACTCTGTCTCAAGAAAAAAAAAAAAAAAAGAAAGAAAGAGGAAGAGAGAAAGTAGAGAAGGGAAAAGAAAGTGAAGCTTCTTGTAAGAGGAGGGACAGTGAGTGACAGAGTATCATTATATACATAAAACAAAGCAAATGCAGCAGACTGTTAATAAAAGATGATCAAGCTAGGCATGGTGGCACACTCTTGTAATCCCAGGACTCAGGAGGCTGAGGCAGGAGGATTGCTGTGAGTTCAAGGCCAGCCTGGTCTATACAGCAGGTTCAAGGCCAGTTTGAACTCTATAGTGAGACTCTGCCTCAAAAAAAAAAAAAGAAAAAAAGAAAAGAAAAGAAAAGGAAAGAAAAGAGGTGATCAAATAATTTCTTGGAGAAATTGTAACCTTTTTTTTTTTTTTTTTGGTACCAGAAATCGAACTCAGGACTTTGCACTTGCCAAGTCACTGAGCTATATCCCCAGCCCAATTTCTTCAAAATTCAAGAAAGTTTTCTGTAAGTTCAAAATTATTCCAAATAAAATGTTTAAAAAAATACAGATCTTCTGGATATGACATAATAACTTCATGTTTTTGATGTAATCCGTTTTACACATACAGCAATGACAATCAAATATAGAAAGAAAAAAACAAAAGGATGTATTTAGCCTCACAACCAAAATAAACATTTCCATAAAGCAGAAACAAAACAGAAATTTAAAGTAGTGTGCAAGGCCAAGTCATAAGCCTGCAGGGGCTTGGAAGCAGACATTGGCAGCTGGCAGTTCTGCTCCTATGAAGTAAATGGTACTTAAAGCCCTGTATACAGAGATAGTAGCCAGACTTGCTGGTTGTAGCAGGGATGCTGATGAAAAAAGCTTGATATCTACATGGCATGCAAAAGACTACATTACCCTCTGTTCTGAATGCAACCTACAAAGTTATAGTAGGTCACTCACCTCTTTATTTGAAAGGCACTTAATAGTTTCACAGTTTCCATAAGAAGAAAGTTTAGTAGTAGCATCTGTCTCCTGTGCCACAAAAAGGAGCTTCTGACCCATTGAGTTTAAGCATTCTAAAATACTGCAAAGTAGTAGAAGACGTCAGGTAAGAATAATTTTTTATAGCCTGGCAGTTATTTCTGTATCTACACTGTCTAATATGGTAGCTACAACACGTAGGTATCTAAATTATAGTAAACATTCAATCCCTCAATTGTACTAGTTGTATGTGATTAGTAGTTACAACACTGGATAGCACAGATACAGAACATTTTCATCATTTTTTTTTAGTTTTTTTTGAGACAGGGTCTCACTATGCAGTTCAAACTGGTCTTGAGCTCACTTTGTAGCACAGGCTGGTTTTGAACTCACAATGATCCTCCTGCCTCAGCCTCCCAAGTGCTAGGATTACAGGCGTGCGCCACCATGCCTAGTTCATTTTCATCATTGCAGACAACTAAATTGGATAGTATTGCTGTAACAAGGAGGGGAAAGATAAACAAGAAATATGCCCAAAGCTCTCTATCAAAGTTTAGGTCAGATTTAAGGATCTGATATATTCATTATGGTCTAGAGTCACATCCTTTTTGAGCCTGTTTTGCAGTTTTGTTTGTTTGCTAGTTTTTTCCAATTTGGGCAATATGTCAAGGGTGCAGATCAATTCTTCTAACCAAAATACCAACAAGTCTACCATCTTCTCCAGTGTTATTTAGTTTCAAAATATCCCAGTCTCAGCCAGGCGTGGTGGTGCATGCATGTAATCCCACTACTCAGGAGGCTGAGGCAGGAGGATCTTTGCGAGTTAGAAACCAGCCTAGGCTACATAAGTGATCTCAAGGCCAGCCTGAACTGCACAGCGAGACCCTGTCTCAAAAAGACCAAAAAAGAAAAAAAGTTAGAAATTAAATGCCCCATTTGCTTTTGCTCCTGTTCAGAACTGAAAAACTGGGCTAGGGATGTAGCTCAGTGGCATAAGTGCCTGTCTGGCAAGCACAAGGTCCTGAGATCGATTCCTGGTACCAAAAAAAAAGAAAAGAAAATAGAACTGAAAAACATTACCTTGTGTTTGGGTGCTGAACTTCTGTTCTGTTTCTCGGCTTTTGGCCTGCTGTTTGCAGTTTTTGGTGACTACCTAGAGACTCTAGATTGAGTTCTGCAATCTAGAAGAAAATAAAGTGGTAAAAATCATCAAATTTGTTACAAAGCATTTGATATTAAAAGAAATAAAAAACAAAACCTATTCAAGTGGTGTTACCTGATTCTTCAGGCCATGGCTTTGCCATTGCAATAGTCCTGGCTGGCTTCAGTAGTTACCAGCTGGTTTCTGGCAGCTTATCCAAGAATGGTAATCTGTTACGAGCTACTTACATAGTTACATGAATATGGAAAAGGGATGAGCAAAAAAGGGATGGGAATTTTGGCATATCATTCCATACTCAAATCACCTAAAATATAGTTCTCTGCAAATGTACAATTGTGGGAAATAATAAAACAATAGCTTTTATAGTAACATCAAAAAAGACATTAGTTTAATTATAAAAAATATGAAATGTCTATTCCAATTGATCTCTCTTCTGTGAAATGGGAGTCTACTTGGGAGCTGTGATGCAGAAAATGAAATACAAAAAGCTTTTTTTCTGAACTACGGATTTAGACCCAAGACCTTATACATACTACTATACTTGCTGTACACTGAGCCTGAGCTACATCCCCAGCTCTTTTTATTTTGAGACAGGGTCTAAGTTGCCCAGGCCAGCCTCAAAACTGGCAGTCCTACTGCTTCAGACTCTCCCAAGTAGCTGGGCTCACAGGTATGCACCACCACACCCAGCTCACAATTACTTTTTTTTAAAAAAACTTCTACAGAGTTACAGAAAAGTTACAAAGACCATACAGAGTTCACATATATCATACAGACATTTTCTCATTAGTAATAGAGTAATTTGGTATTTGTCACAATTAATGAGCCAATATTGATACATTAATATTAACTAAAGTCCATGTGTAACTCAGATTTCCTTACTTTTTATCAAAGTATGATATAATTTTCAGTGTAAACCATGTTCTCAAAATATGGACTGAGCATATTTGAGGGTTCCAGAGACCGTTTCAGAATGATGTCTTCTTTTCCCCAAATGCACAACTCAACAGATTGAATATAAAATCAGATACAAAAACAGCCAGGCGTGGTGGTCCCCATCTGTAATCCCAGCACTAGGGAGGCTGAGGCAAGAGGATTGCTACAAGTTTGAGGCCAGCCTGGGCTACAAAATGAGCTCAAGGCCAGCCTAAACTGCATAGCAAGACCTTGTCTCAGAAAGACAAAACAAAACAAAAAAACCCCTGCTTCTACTAAGTGAAACATTAAAGAAATTCACAAAGTATGTAAAACAATGATATTCTTTCCACTGATTTTTTAAAAAATGTTATGCCATATCCACAAAAATAAATTTTGTTAACATGAGATTATTTGATATTTTAAAGAAATCAAGATATTAAAAGTATGATTCTCATATTTAATTTCTAATATGGTAAATGTTGGTAGATGTGAGCCACATACACAAAATCCCACTGAGGGTGAAGAAGTCCTGAGACCAGAAGGTTCTCAGCACCTACGATGGTTTCGAAAGGAGCTAAGCCATAGATACCTTTCCTAAGTCATGTTTCACTAGCTGACAGCCGCACCCATTTGTGAACACATTCTATGCCTGCTTTGTACCATAATGGCAAGTTGAACAGTTATGATAGAGACAATACAGCCTGCAAATCCTACAGTATTCATTATCTGGCCTTTATTTTTAAAAAAACAAAGTATAGTAAGTCTGGAGTGGAGCAGAAACATGCTTTGGAATCTGACAAACCTGGATTTAAATAAATTTTAGGTCCAGTTGATTAATAGTAGGACCCCAGATAAGTCATCTAAGCTTTCAAAACCTTAGAATGCTCAGATATAAAATTGGCTGCTATGAGGATTAAATAGCAATTAAAACAGTAGGCTCAGAAAGAGCTCAGTATATGGCAACTATTTTTTCTTCATGCCCAAATAAGATCTGAGAATGTCAGTGTAGTACAATGTCTTTCTACCACAATGACACAAAGCAGTATTCTGGCTTTAGTTACTATTCTATATGGATGTTTTATTTCATGATATAGTTAATTTACTTCATAATATGATGAAACTTATGCTGTGGGACAATCTAATGCATTGTAATAAAACCTTTCAAAAATTCTATCCTCTTCAATATCCCCCTTATATGTTATTCTAATTAATACCCACTGAACTACTACTGAAACAAAGGTGCCCCCATCACAAAAGAACAGAAATCGATGTAGAATTTTAATTATTACAGTTATTAGCATCAGCTATAAAGCTAAATGTGGTGTTTAATGTATTCAAGGCACTGTGATAAGAGCTCATTTACCCCTACCAAAATCCCAGAGAACTATATTCCCATTTTATAGATTTAGAAACAAGTTTTTCAAAGAAATTGCCTAGATTCAGCTGGACTTCAAGGCCTATATTTGAAAACTGATAAGCTCAATTTCAGAGACTACTCAACCACTATATTATCCTAGTTAGATGGGTCTTAATTCCAAATGTGAGCTCAGCTTCAATCATATTCTCACTTTTATAAAGAAAGATAACAACATAAGATGATGATTTGCGATTGTCTGATCTGGTCCCATAATTTTTGTTTTTTGTAGTTTTGAGACTACGTAGTCCAAGCTAACCTCAAACTCACAGCAATCCTCCCATCTTAGCCTCGTAAATGCTGGGATTGTAGGTGTGCACTACCATACCCAGCTATGTTCCCGTAATATTAAAGGCAAACACACTGGTCAAAGATACTAACCTTCTTTGGACCATACTTAAGGAAATACTGAGCCAATTCAAGGGCCGTTCTAGCATCTTCTGTGGCATCATGACCAAGCCTGTTTGGACGATGTATATCTTTCCTGGAAAGTCAAGGTAAAATTGACATACCTAGCAACATTTTTGATGATAAGCTCTGTCAACCACGTCAAATGTCCTAGTTAAACATAAAGTTTCAACACTGTGATAAACAGTGTTCTAGTTAAACATAAAGTTTCAAGATTGTGATGGATTCACATCACAATCAAGAATCTTTTATTGTGGCTAACTGCCAGACCCTAAGAAATGTGCTGAAGATACAGAATAACTAGGAATGGTTTTGTCCACAGCAAGCATATCATCCTAACAAAAGGCTATGCAACAGTAAGTCTGTAGCTCACTTCTCAGCCATTATTTCTTAGCTCTAAAAGCTATTGAAAGCTATTGAAATTTTCTGTTCACACACAAGTATCTAAATGTACTTAAGTTCTTTTTGTTTTCAAAAAACTTATATCATTTGTGTCTATATGAATATCTAAATTAATCCATATCATATCATTTCAATATCTAGGAAAGCCATTTTATTCTAAATATTATCCTACTAAAGTCTCTATACTAGTAAACACAGATCTTCTGAACAACAAAGTGTTCAATAATATAACCATAATTTATTTAACCAGTTTTGTAGAATACTTCCAGCTTTTTCTATTTTGAACTATGTTACAGTGAACATCTTTGTATGTACAAACAGGATATATTTAATATAGGTATATTGTATTTTGAAATTTTGGCTAACTAACTTTTCTAGCCTTTGTTATCTGGTTCTGTTCATCAAGCCCTTTCTCTATTCCCATATTTCTTCATTTCACAAGAAATAAAAGGAATCATGTCTACAAACTAACAGGGAGAGCAAGACCCTGAATTTTGCAATATGTATTAAATTAGATACCACATGCCAACTTACGTGCAATTATCAGGACAGTAGTATAATATGTAAATAAACCTACCCCAAAATAGCTTTGGCTAAGAATTTTAGCTTAAATCTTCTGCCCTTTTCTCTGACATAAAGCAATGAGGTATCAATAACATATGGATGTATCATCTGAGGGGAAAGAGAATATAGAGTGAGTAGCATCTTATGCAAAAGGAAAAATTAAATTGGGGGTAGAGGAGTTCAAGGCTTTAGATTTGAGATAAATGGAATTGCATTTGTATTAGAAAAGCAAAGTCTTAAATCAGATACGCACTTTCAATGCTCTGAGATCCAAGTCTAGCAAATGTCCCACTAACACAGCATCAGGAGGAAGCAGTGTTCTTAATTGCCTCTGTACATCTTTGAGTTTGGTTGTCACTGAGTTAAGAATAGTCTTTGTGATTCCTGAAAAGCTTTCAATAAAAAAGACAAATGGACAGGCCATAATATTAAAAAGGTTTCCTTCCTGGAAAGTTCTGTAAGAAGAGAAATAATGTATACTTTGTGTAGAAAAAGTTGAAAATACAAATAAGCATAAGAAATTAAAAAGTGGTCATAATCTCATCATCCAGAGATGATCATGTTATTCTAGTAAATATCTTTCCTTTTTTTCTTTTATTTTGAAACAGGGTTTGGCTAAATTGCCCAGGCTGAAGTTGAACTTGTGATACTCCTGCCTCAACATCTTCCCACCCTGCCAATTGGTTGGAATTACAGGTGTGGGTTACCACATCCCACCTTCTTATAGTAACACATTTTTATAATAACACAACCATAATACACATGCTGCTTTACCACATGATTTTGTCTCTTTCAATATATCATAAGTATCCTTATTAGTAGCTACACAGTAGTCTATTATATGGATATAACTTTTCAATCTTCTATTTTCAGATATTTATATTCCCTCATTTTGTAATACTAAGACAAATACACTTGTACATACTTCTCTACACACATGACTACTACTTAAAAATACATCTAAGGGTTAGTGTTAGAGCTCAGTGGCATAGCACCTGCCTGCCTGGCAAGTACAAAGTCCTGAGTTTGATTCCCCCGAAAAAAAGGAATACTATCTTAGAGCCAGGTGTGGTGGCGCATGCCTGTAATCCCAGCACTTGGGAGGCTGAGGCAGGAGGATCGTTGCAGCTTCAAGAACAGCCTGGGATACAAAGTGAGCTCGAGGCCAGCCTGAACTGCACAGAAAGACCCTGTCTCCAAAAAAAAAAAAAAAAAAAAAAAAAAAAAAAAGACTACTGTCTTAATTATCAAGTCTGCTAACAGAACAGTCTATATCACTGTCAGGATTTCTCTGTGTAAGCATGAATCTATAGGTATAACTTCAATAGACTGAAACAGTAATGTTTCAATCATGTTTTCTTTGCATATCATTGCGTGTACATTTTAAAATTACAGGATAATCTTTGGGAAAACAGGCTACAATTTAGAGCTTCTAATTTCTATTACAGAAAAGAGTAGTTTTGGTTTTTGAGGTCAATGCAGATTAAGCACTAATATCATTTAACTGTCAAGTACCACCCTACAGATTTTCAGATGAGGTCTTACCAGAAAGCAAAACTTCCTTCCAGCTGTTTGGCAGTTGCTAGATAATGAATACAAATGGGGAATTCTAGGACAAGGCAGATAATATTCTGCTGACTTAGTATCACAAGAAGATTAGCAAATACAAAAGGGCAAACACTATACACTAACATTGTGCAATTTGAGTACTAAGATGTAACCAGGTGTTGCACCAGCCTTTTCTTTGATAATATATAGGTAGGTAAAACCTAAGTAAGCAGAAGCTGTGGGCTTTTCCTGTTAAATCTTACTCCATGATACTTCCAACAGGTCCATGAAGAGCTTAAGGTGATGTGAAAAATACCTGGTGAGGTAGTCCACGATCTTGTCATCAGGTTTGACCAGTTCATCCATAATACAGCAGCCCCCTTCAGCTACCAGTGAGATGCGTGTCACTTCTCTCCCCTTGGATGTGAGGCACTGAAACACCACGATACAGTCAGTCTGCTGAACTGTGAAAGCTACTGCTTCCTCTGATTATCCACAATAAGTGGTTTGCCACCTACTCTCAAGTACCAAACTCGGTGGAGCAACAGCAAACATGTTTGCTTCCTATAGGATCTAGTATGAATGAAATGTTCTAGACTGCTGACTGCTATACTTAAGGGAAGCAACACAGATCAACTTCTACGGGAAATGATATCCTCAAGGAAGATGAATGGAAAAAAATCTCAATCATAATTGTATCTCCATGTATGCATGGAGTGTACTTTATGGTAAGTACCAGTAATAGGTAACTTTTATTAAGCATACTCTAACCTTGTGAGGTAGCCTTTATTATTAACCCCACCTTTACAGAAAGAGAAGCTCTGTGTGTCAGTCTCTAAAACTTAAGCTTTTAGCCAATCTATTAAGAAGTAAGAGCTGGGCATGGTGGTACATGCTTGTAATCCCAACACTCAGGAGGCTGAAGCAGGAGGATTGCTGCAAGTTTGTGGCCATCCTGGGCTACATAGTGAGTCCAGACCAGCCTGAACTTCATAGCAAGACCCTGTCTCAAAAAAAAAAAAGAAAAAAGAAAAAGAATTAAGGAACTGATTGTTGAGTACTGAGAGAAGATACACTGTCTTTAAAAAAAAGATTTGCTAAACTTGGGCAAAGAAAGACACAAAGAATGATAGAGCAGGGAAATCCTGCTTTTGATTATCAATGTATAAAATTAAGGTAAACCAATGGTAATTAAGGCAATCTTCACGGCACTAGTAACTACATACTTATTCAAAAGATAGGAGTAAACTTTTAATATTATGTAAAGACTTGATTAAACACAATAACTAGTTAGAAAATTTATATGCTTATTCTTTGTCTACAACACAAATCCAAAGTTTCTAAAGTGTGAGTAGAAGAGCCTACTTTCAGCTACTGAAACTGAACAATGAAACTGAATGCACTGGTTTAGAAGACTCAAGAAATCACCTTCCACTAAATACCAGTTTGCAGCATTCCAGCTGAAAAATCATGAGTACCACTTACTATTTCACAGTCAAGTCCAAAGAGAGGACTGTTGTCTGTTACAAAACCATTACATTTGGTAGGTATAAAGTTTTCATAGTCAGGAAAACCTAGGAGGAAAAAAGGGAATAAAATATTTACCTTCAGAACTAGAGATGGTAAACATCACTCAGACTCATCCAGGGAAACTGAAATACCATTTGTTAGTTATCTTTTCTAGGTTAGTTACTTCAAAAATAGAGGCAATCTCTGTCCTTTGGTTTTTCTGCATCTACTTGTTTTATATTCTGAAAAGCCAAATGTGATGGTGCACACTTATAATTCTGCACCAAGGAGGCTAAGGCAGGAGGACTGCCATGAGTTTAAGACAAGGCTCGGCCACATAGTGAGTTCAAGGCTAGCCTGAACTACACTGTGACACCCTGTCTCAAAAAACAAAACAAAACAAAACAAAAAAACACCTGAACAAATAAGGGGAGCTTCCTGTTATAAGCCCTGGACTTCCTGATAGTTACCAAGTAATAACTTTTCCTCCTTATCAGAAGGGAAATTACAACAAAATTATGTCTAAATCCAAAATGAATGGATTATTTCCATCTAGGCACCAAGAGAGAATGAATAAAGTATACATGACTACATGTGGCATTTTTCTTTCCCAAATAAAGCAAGAGAAAGTAGGAAAGAGATTCCACCATAGTAGACATCTAAAACAATTGTAGGGTAGACAGAAAGTAGGAGTAATAATGTTCACGATGTGCACACCTCCACCTAATTCTATCTTGAGAGTTCTCTGAAGTCTCTATTCAGAAATTTATGTACATTTTTTTGAATCATAAACTAAAAGTTCCCTACCGTGGCTCAACTACAGGTTTAGGGCACTCCTTCCATTGCATACTCTAAGTCAGTGATGGCAAACCTTTTAGAGCTTTCAATGATCAGAAACAGCCCACTGTGGTACATGTGCTGTAGGTTTGCCACCACTGCCGTAAGTCAATAAACAGGCATATTTAGCTCAATGACATAAAACGTTTGAATCACTGACGATTTCTACCTTTAGACGAAAGCGAAGAAGCAAAGCTAATATGGAGATATCATTTGAAAGAAACAAAGGGGAACATGAAAACTTTTGGCCAATTGCTATCACCTGATACCTTAGAATTTCCAACTGACTGCAATTAAAGGAATCAAACTATGATCTAATCCAGAAAAGAAAGGCACTCCCAAATCTGGGAAATATTGTATTTGCTACTCACCCTATTTGTACTATTAGTGGCATTAAAAACAAACAAAATTACTAACATTTTAAAAGTATTTATGTGTCAGATACATTCTTTTTTTTTGGTACCAAGAATCAAACTCACCTCAGGCATTGTGCCACTGAGCTATATCCCTGGCCCTGTGTCAGATACATTCTAAGCACCTTTTGTTTTCCCCAGTAATGGAGGTTGAATCCAAGGCCTTCACGCTGAGTTACATCCCCAGCCCGCTTTTGTAATTTTATTTTGAGAAAGGGTCTTATTAAGTCACTAAACTGCCTTGGCTAGGCTCCAACTTGTGAGCCTCAGCCTCTTAGAGTGCTAAGATTACAGCCATGAGCCACCATGCCCAGTTGCTATGCACCTTTTGTCCATTAATTATTTAATCTTTATGGCAGTCCTGATATAGGGACTAAATTTTAACTCCATTTTACAAATGACTTCCTTTATTTTAAAAGGAAATGTGTAAAGAATGCATATATTTGGGAGGCTGAGGCAGGAGAATTGCTGTGAGTTTGAGGCCAGCCTCAGCTACAAAGTGAGCTCAAAGCCAGACTGAACTGCATAGTGAGACCCTGTCTCAAAAAGACAAAAAAACAAAGAACAAAAAACAAAGCACTAATAACTCAGTAATAAAAAGACAGCCCAATTAAAAGATAGACAAAGGCTTGGATGGTGGCATATGCCTATAATCCTGGGACTCAGGAGGCTGAGGCAGGAGGATCATCATGAGTTCAAAGCCAGCTTGGACTATATAGCAAGACCCTGTCTCAAAAACCAAAAAATAAAACAAAAAACAGAAATAGACAAAGGATCCAAATAGACATTTTGCCAAAGATAGTCAAATGACCAAGAAACACATGAAAAGATGCTTAAAATCACTAGCCATAAGAAAAATGCAGATCAAAAGCATGAGACACCACTTCACTACCACCTAACATGGAAAGACAGATGATAAGTGTGGTTGGTAAGGATGTGCAGAAACTGGAACCCTCAACGTTGTTCATGTGAATGTAAAATGTGGCAGTGGCTTTAGTAAACAGTCTAACAAGTTTTTAAGAAGTTAAACTCCAGTTATCATATGACTTGATAACTGCACTTTCCTAAGCATATATCTAAGAGAAATGAGAACACACGTTCACACAAAACACTTGTACTCCAGTGTTCACAGCAGCATTAGTCATGACCAAAAAGTAGAAACAATCCTAATGTCCATTACCTGATGATAAATAAAATATAAAATGTTCATACGCAGACTATCATTAGGTAGTGAAAATGAATTAAGTACAATACAACCTATAGCATGAATGAACCTTGAAAACACTACGCTAAGTAAAAGAAGTCAGTTTTGTTGTTGTTGTCGTTTTGTTTTTGTTTTTTTGTGAGTCAGAGTTTCATTATACAGTTCAGGCTGACCTTGAACACACTATGTAGCCCAGACTGGCCTTGAACTCAGAGCAATCCTTCTGCCTCAACCTCCTGAATGCTGGGATTACAGGTATATGCCACCATACCCAGCAAGAAGCCAGTATTAAGAGATCACATATTTCATGATTCCATTATATTCAGAATAGGTAAATCTATAGAAAGTAGATTAATGATTGCCTAAGGCTAAAGGAACTATAGGGAAATGATAATACAGTATTTCTTTGAGGGTGATCAAAGCATTATAAAATTGACTGTAGTGATGGCTATACCACTCTGTGAACATATTAGAAAATAATGAATGATATACTTTAAATGAGTGAATTATATGAAATGTTAGATCACAAAATTCTTTGCTGAAAGTTGAAATTTAATCATCACTGCTATAATTAACAGGTAACAAATAAACTAAAACCAAAGCATTCCCATTAAATTCTTGATATATATGTAACTGATCAAGACTCTAAGCCAACGGTGGCAAACCTATGGCATGTGTGCTGCAACAGGCTGTTTGTTGCCACTGAAAGTTCTGAAAGGTTCGCCATCACTGCTCTAAGTCAGTACCTGCTCTGACTTGTTAAACAAATGGAGATTGTTAAAGAAATGGAGATTGGCATGGGGGGGCATTAAAAGTGTTAGACAAGTGTTAAAACGTTAAAGACATTATTGATTCTTTTTAATATACTAAGAAGGTAAAAGAAAATAAAATGCAAAGGAATAAAAGGGAGTAACCTCATTAAATAGTTTAATACTATTTAGGATTATGTTCATGTACTATTTAAAAAGATCACTTTACCAATCATGCTGTACATCTCACACACTGGAAAACAATGCATTTCAAATACTCCTTCATTAATAGAAGATGGAATAATAACTATTAGGAAAGCAGCCAGAAAAATGAATTTTCAACCATATTTAAATAAACAGTTAAGTATTCTTACATTGTTAGCAACATTAGATGATGTCTAAACTAACCTTGTAATGGAAAGCGAAACATTTTCATTTCTTCCATTGTTAGAAGGCATCGGGTCAAGCCTACTTTATCAGAGCCATACTTTTGAATGATGGGGTCATCATGCAGGTTGATGTTGGCTTTTGAACTAGTAGAAGGTAAAGATCCTATAACAAGAAAGACAACTGAATATATACATATATTAGAATGCATTTGTAAGAATTTCAGAAGACATAACTCTTAATGTGTGGGGTCTTGCAATCTAATATAGTTTTAAGAACACAAAGAGAATAGTAAAGAGAGAGAAGGAAGAATATATTTCAGGTTGGAGTGGTGAGAGATACTTCAAGAAAGTAAAAGATTAGTGGAATCTTGAGGAAAAGGCAGAATTTAGATAGCTGGTGTGTGAGAACTGTCCCTTATAGGGCCTGCCATTCCCAACAGCTCATTTTAACTAAATCAATACCATTCCTAACCACCTACTCAAGCATCCTGTCCCTTAACCAGCAACCATCAGTGTTTGGATTAAGGGTGTGGACCTAGATAAAAAGGGACTCATCTACAGAATGAATAATGATACTCCTTGTCAAGACGGAACAATGGAATTAGCTCCATTGCTCATACTGCCTGCTTCCAGAATTTTAACTAGAAAATAAGCTGGTGAGCACACTTGTGATCCTAGCACTGTGGAATACTGAGGCAGGAGGACTGCAAGTATGAGCACAGCCTAGGCAACAAGAAAAACCCTGTTTCAAAATAAAAAATAAAAGGGCTGGGGATATAGCTCAGTGGAAGGCTTGATAGAGAGTAGAAAAAGAAAAAAGACCTAAAATAGAATGTAGAAAACATGGATGAGAGAGAACAAAAATAAATTAGAGACCAGTATGTGTGGTAGGTTGAAGTCTTAACTGTAGTCCATCACTCAATACATAATGGGGAGCAAGAGAAAATTCCTGAGAAGGGAAGTGACAGAAGAAAGAGTATTTTAAGAAAGATCAACCTCAAATATTAGTGGAAAATGAAGTACAGTGAAACTAGAAAATATTTTTGCAGGACTGGGGATATAGCTTAGTGGCACAGCATCTGCCTGGCAATCATGAGGTCCTAAGTTGGATTCCCAGTACCAAAAAGAAAAGTGTTTTACAAAAGAATTATGACTAGATACTGGGATAAGATGGTGGAAGGAATAAAGGAAAAGGGATATATCAAGAGAAATAAAAGAAAAACTGGTACAGTGTAGTGACAAAACAATTCAGTTAAAAGTATTTATTTATGACGGCTTATTATATGTTTGGCAATGCTCTAGTCATTAGGGATTCCTTAATCAACAAAACCACAAAATTTTCTAAGAAGTTCAATTCTAGGTGAGAAGACAGACAGTAAACAAGCATTTAATATAGCAGATGGATATAAGAGCTACAAAGAAAAGTAATGGAGGAAAAAGAGGATAGGGATTCCTACAGCAGGAAATGGTTTACAGGTCATGTTTACACAGAGTGATCATGAAAGATCTCTGACAAAGTGGCTTCTGAATAGGGACTTAGAAAAACAAAGGGAATGAGACTGAGGATAGACAAAAGAAAATAATTCTAAAATTCAAAACTAACATCTTAAAGGAAAGTATACTAACAGAAGGGATCTACAGAAGGAAGCCCATTATTTGTGAATGAAAAAAAATGTTTTTAGCTATGCTAAGGATAAGGGGACAGTGGAATAACTAAGCAATAATATCCAAAGGCAACTGAAAATACAGACCTACAACCTGCAAAATCAGATTGAGAGATAAAGAAATAGGTGTCATCTATGGTAGGTAAAGTTGGGAAAAACAAATGAAGACTCCAAAGGCAGATCAGAGTGTTACAGACTATGCCTTGGAGATTTGGTAATTAAAATGGAAGACGATGCAAAGTCCTTAAGAGGATAAAGAAGTAGTCATAACCTCTGGCTTGTAAATGCCTACAGAATAAAACCCTAAGTCCTTATGCTCTGCATTCAAAGCCTGTAGGATGTGGCATTAATTTGCCTCTCTAGCCTCAACTCTCACCACTACTTTCTCCTGTTGCCCTCAGCATTCCCAACAAGCTATATTCTTCAGCCATGGCTTTTTCCTTGTCTTTCACAGCTCAACCCTTTACTTGAACCTAAAATCTAATGATAACTATTCTGTCACTTACTGAAAGGTAAACAGATAAAAACAGTACATAAACTGAACACAGCTACAGATCAAATATGGGCACCTATTGGAAGGAGAGGGGAATAATGGAAAAGTGGGAAATTAAAAGATGCTGCTGAGACAAAGGATGACAGGAAGCACTGTTCTAAATAGAAAGGAATAACTATTACTCCTTACTTTTTCATATTGCTTTAGTACAATTTTGTTTGGTTGGTTAGATGGTTTTTTGAGACAAGGTCTCACTATGTACTTCAGGCTGGCCTTGAACTTACCATATAGCACAGGCTGGCCTCAAACTCTCAGGGAGCTTCCTGCCTCAGCCTCCCAAGTGCTAGCCACCACACTCAGCTGCTTTAGTGTAATTAAACAATTATTACTTTTCTTTTTTAACAGTATTAGGGATTGAACCCAGAACCTTTGTACTGAGCAACATCCCTAGCCCCTTTTTTATTTTTCATTTGAGACAGAGTCTCCCTAAATTGCTCAGGCTGAGCTCAGACTTGGAATCCTCCTTCCTCAGCTTCCCAGGGTACTAAGATTACAGGTGTGCACTACCATACCCAGCTATTAAATGGTTTCTGAGACATGAACCCTGCCTGTGGATTATGCTAACCTCTCTGGGTACCTGCCAATTTTTCCTTTTAAGAAAATTACTTTTCTGCTTAAATTAGTCAGCATTGAATTTGTTGCTTACAATAAGTAAATGTGACTCATAAACTTGGTAATGACCTTATCCATAAAATCAATGGACAAAGCATCAAACCATTCAGTCTTACCTTCACTGGTCTTGGGCAGATCTCCAGCTTTTTTTTTTTGCAGGCCAATGATATCAGCTAGAAAACTGGATGATGGAGGAGGCAAGCAGAATTTCTGAAAATATATTAATAGGTTCTTTCAAAAATGGTTGAAAATAGTTAAAGTACTGATGAGTCTGAACTTGTCAGTTCAGTCTATCAAAGGTCTATACCTTAACTGTCTACATTATAAAATAAGAACTGTTTTTTTAATATGAAAAAATGCCTAGGTAAATGAAGCCACATTTACTACCACCATTACCCCCTGGAATTTTTTTGTGGTTGTTTCTTTCATTATGTTTTAGAAAAAGGATAAACATTATAGAAATGTACAATTTCTTTTTCAGAAATGTACAATGTAAAGAAAGAAAGTTCCTTATGGTTTTCAAGTCAATTCCATATCTACTGTTTCACCAGAGAAAAGAAGTTGAGAGCTCTAGCCTCAGACTCACCTAGGCTTACTTGTAACTCCAACATTTACCAGCTATAACTTAAGTTTCTTATGTATTAAATGGGATTTTAAAACCATCTTTCTTATTGATAATTAAAGGTGATGTACATAGTATGAGTAATATTGGGACTAGCATATAGAAGGTGCTCAATAAGTGGAAGCAATGAAGAAAAGGAAGATTAAGTAAGGGAGATTAAATTAGGGCCCAACATCTCAAATGCCTTTAAGAGTAAATGGCTAAAACAGGACACTTCGGAATGGAGGAGGCTATAGGAATACAGAAATGCCATGCCTCTTTTAAGATTACAAGTGATGTTCAGCTCCAGATAATGTTCTAAGGATGTCCAATTTTGTGATTTTTTTTTTAAGAGGTAGAAAACCCTAGATTTTATGTAAACTTTACAATGTCTAAAAATACCGTACCTCAAAAAAACCCAGAACATTATTAACCCAGGAACTAGGTTATAATTTGGGAATAAGTGTTTTGCCTAGATTACCAAAGATAAATCAGAGACAAATCTAATTTCAGCATGAGCTGAAATTAGCATGAAATTCAGCATGAAATGTATCCTCTGTCACTTTCATTTACTGTATCCTCTGTCACTTGTTCAGCTAAGTTGCCATGGAGCATATTCTCAGATACATGCACAAGTGTCCCGATAGAACCCTTAAACAAAGTTTTCTTAACTTACATGTCTGAATGTCTTTCGGAGAAATTCAAACTCCATATAGAACTTGTAGAAATGCAGTTGACTCATTCCTTGAAGAATAAAAACCACCACATTGTTTAGGTGGTTTAGGTGAAAAATCTGGCACCAACTGTTGAACAAATCAGAACATAGTTGAAAGTAAAGCCCTAAAGTCAGTTACAGGCATTCACAAGGGAAGCATAAGAAGTCAGGTAAATAAATTTTTCATCATTACTTCCTCTGCTTAGAACTGGAAAAGTCATTAGTACAAAGAATTCAAGTAAAGATCTCCTGAGATAAATATTTATTACAATCAAATCAAGCAAAATACCAAGTTAAATACATGCATTTAAACCCACAGTCTTACTAAAATTTGTTTTAAATCAGAACTAAGTTCATTTTACTAAATTCACTCTATCATTCTTTAAGACTTATCCCCTTAAGAGCCCAAACTACTCTGTAGCCCTTCCTAAATCAAGTAATCAAATGACTGGCTTCAACTGTAGATAAACTGACAGACTGATGGTATTTGTCCATGAGAAAGATGGCTTTTGAGTTATCTAGCCAATTCATAACAATCTCCTCCAAGGAAATGTGTGCATTTGAAAATATCTTTATTGGCATATAAAAAAATAATTTTCAAATGGGTTTGTAATCCCAGGAGTATGCAAGGCTGATACAGAAGGATCACATGTTCAAGCCGTGCCTGGGCAACTTTGTAACTTCATGAGATCCTGCCTCACAATATAAAATTAAGGGCTTGGGATGTAGCTTAGAGTGAAGGCTTAGGGTTCAATCCCCAGTACCGGAAAAAAAAAAAAAAATCCAATAATGGCACTGACAATATTAAAATAGTAAAAATTATCTCTTAGCTCTTCATCTGTAAAAGGAAGAAAAAGATTGACTGGAATTCTTAACATAACATCATTTATGTTGTTATGTTATTATTTCAACTGGGTATATACTAGGGGAAAGACATTGACTCTATACCAGGGAAGAAAAGAACTGATTGAAATTATTAGCATATCTTATTATTTTAACTGGGTCTGTACCTGGGAAAGAAACTAAAATATCTACAGTGACTGGACAGATACTGTTAGTAAGTACAGTAAGACAGGTAGGACACTGCAGTACACATACTCTATCTAAAAGGAAAATCACTCAGCTTTGGTAAAGTGTTTCCAAGTGGGAATATAAGGACAATTGCCAAATCCTTTGAGTTTTTTGAAGAAGTCAAAAAAATCTGGATTACTATAAAGAAATTCCCAAATTTAATTGTTAATAGCCATTTTTTTTTTTTAAATTTAGGGCATGCTACATGGCAAACAGATTATATCAGTAAGCCATATATGACTCTCCAGACATCAATCTGAAACTTCTGTCTATACATACTATTTAAATTCATCTCATACCTGGGTCTAGGAACAATGGATTTGCCCAGAACTGCATACTTCAGCAATTCACACAGTTGGCCATGGGTTATTTCACAATTACCAGCAAATAAAACGGTAGATAAGCAAGCTTTCTGCAAAGTAAATTGGGGCAGAGCAAACTATATAATCAGGAATGGTAACAAAGTAAGGCAAGTTATTATTCTAGTTTCTGATTGTTTTAACATATATACAAACATAGGCAGGTTCTAATTAATTGAAGATCAAGGTCTAAAACAATAACTTGACCAGCCAGGCACAGTGGCACATGCCTATAATCCCAGCACTCTGAGAGGCTGAGGCAAGAGGATCACAAGTTTGAGCCTAGTCTGGGCAACTGTCTCAAAATAAAAAATAAAAAGGGAAAAAAGGGTGACCTCAGTGAGGTCCTCCTTTCAGTACTCAAGAGGCTAAACCACCAAAAAAAGGCCTAAATTAAGGCCATCTGTGGTACAATGTTATTAATAGAATATTTAATAAACATGGATATAGAACCTAAATTATGTTTGTTATGTGCTAGTAATCATAGGATGAATAAAATGATTCCTGGTGTCAAGGACTCCATTGCAGTAGAAGAAAAAAATGTGACAAAAATTACAATACAGTTAGGGTATGTCCTATTACAAATATATGTAAACAAACAAGCTATCTGTCTTGAGGATTAGAGAGTTTTGGCAGTGGCTTTACTAAGACAAAAACACTGGAGCTGAGCCTTGAAAATAATGAGTCTGCCAAACTGAAGGGAACATTGTGTCATAACATAGTATGGTTTGACTGAAGCTCTGGAGTCAAGATTGAATGTTGCAAAGTAGTGGCAGTGAGAGTAGGAACGAAGGAACCAGATCATAAGATGAAGAGTTGGAATTTTGCGTATGGCAACAGGAAATGAAGAGTCCCATCTCCTTAAAAAAGCTTTGCACTAGCTATAATCCTAGTACTCAAGAGGCTAAACCAGGAGGATCTTGGGTTCAAGATCATTATGGACTCACCCTGTCTCCTCAAATTTTAAAAGGGGAGGAGGGACTCTGTACTTCTACTGGTTACTAAAGTAGTTTATGCTTGTTATAAAAAACTCAGATAATAGACAAGGATAAAACAGATAATACTTACATACAGTAATAGATAAATATAAAAGCCACCTGTACAACTCAGAGGTAATTAACACTCTTATTTTTGTCTGGGAAATAGCAAAGTATAAGGGTTAGGTGCTAAAGTCCTGAAGTCACATTACTCAGAGTTCAAATATCATCTTGGACAAGTGCCTTAACCTTTTTAAGATCCAGTTTTCTCATTTATAGAGTAATTATACTTCTCTCATGAGATTATTGGGAAGACCAGTGAGATAGTCCTAGTGCTAATTAAGCTGTTGGCTGACATATCATAAGTATTTAGTAAGCATCAGCTATTACTATTGCTTATTTCCCCCATGCCCTAAGATAATATTGAGCATTTTCTCCTAGACAGATATGTCTGAGCACTTTACATATATTAAGTCATTTAACTTCACATTTCTTTTTAGATGAATACTACTATTATCCCCATTTTACAATTAAAAAAATGAATAAACAAGACCATGGGTAGAAGGTAGCAGACACTTCTAATCCTACATACTCAGGAAACTGAAGCAGGATTGCAAGCTCAAGCCTAGCCAGGGCAAATTAGTGAGACCCTGTTTCAGGAAAAAAAAATAGAAAGGGATGGGGATGCTCCCTAAACTCAACCTCCACCCTCTCAAAAAAAATCAACAGTCCTATTAGAATGATGCAGACTCTAAAGCCCAAGATCTTTTCATCTCTGTTCTATACTGCTCCTAAATGATTTTACCATCTATTCTATTTTGTACCCAACTCCTTATCCCCTACTTAATCTGTAATATCTTTCCATATCAGTTAAATAACATTAATTTTAATACTTTAATAATTTAAAATTTGCCTAAAAATGTATAATTAACCTGAAGGAAATTCCTTATTGATTACACTTTTTAAAAATTACAAACAACATTATGATGAACACCCTTCATAGCATTCTTGTACACCCATCTAATCATTCTGTCAGTATAAATTCATGGGCAAAACTGTTTGAAGAAGGCCAGCAACTAAATTTAACATGATTCTAGACTGGGATTGTACTGCTAAACAGAATTGAGCAACTAGAGAAACTTCCATGGAACCTGAAGATTAGACGTCAGCTATATATCTACGTTAATTTCCTGGGTTTGATTACAATGTGATTAGGTAGGACTACTTGCAGCAAATACACAAAATATCTAGGCGAAGGGGAGAAAAGTGGAAAGCATTATGTCACCAACTATGTACCTTCAAGTGCTCGCAGGGGGGCAGGGGACATTCCTCATCTTTGCAACTTTACTGTTAATGTGAGATTGTCTCAAAATTAAAATGTGAGAGTAAGTCTTAAAATTTTTTAGTATGGTAACCTTAAAAAAATTTTTTTGTTGTCCATTGATAGGCAGAAAATTGCAATCTCGTCTTAACCAAAATTCTTTCACAGCACTAATTCCGGCCTAATATACCATATAAATTTATATAATTCCGGTCTAACCTACCATGTAAACTTATGTATATAATTTGTATGTACTGTTTATCCTATGTCTAATCACTAACAGCAGAAGCCTTACTAGGGCTATGATCTTAAGTTTATTAATCGATGTCACCCAAGTGCCTAAGTCTGTGCCCTGGGCACATGACAGACCAAAATCTGATGAATGACTGTGGGACTGAATGAAGTACATTTAGCTCTTAATAAATGTCAAAAACGCCAACTGTGAACTGCCAATAACAGCCATGAGGTAGATGCTATTAACGTCACAATTCTCACTTTTTCACAGATCGGAGAGCAGGTTCGCTGAGGATCATGGGACGGTCAGCGTCCCGCGCGTCCCGCACCCTGAAGGTGGCTGGGGCTCCCCGCTGCTCACCTTGGCCTCGGGCTGCATGTCCTCCTGAGCCCAGCGGGCTCTCCTCGCCTCTGTCGCCCGGACCAGCTGGTTGGGGACCTGTCTCCTCTTTCTGCCCTTCCCTAGGTGCCCCCCGGTCTTTTCCTTCTCTGTCTCCATGATGCTGTGGAGAAAATCTGCCAAAACTGAGGAAATTCGGAACCCGAGAGAACGCCAGACACCTGAGAGCTTCTAAGCTCCCTCGGCTCCTCGCCTCAACTCACCATACACCGTGCCCGCCCAGCCCGCCCTGAAAACCCCGGGCACCAACGGATCTGTCTCCGCCCACGGACGCCACAGCTGCGTCGCAACCGTCGGCGTCCGCGGCCGAATTCCAAACGGCTCCGGAGCCGCCCAACTGCCTTCACCCGCTGGCAAAAACAAAAAGGGGCGCTACCGAGAGGCTTCCCTGCCTAGAAGCACTCCCCGCGCCCGAGAGTCCTGATAACGAGGAAGAGAAGCAGGGTAGACAGGACACCCGGCTGCCGCCTCAGTCACAACGTAAGGCACGGACATCACAGCCTCTTCCGCTGCGCGGGCGTTTGAACAGACCGGAAGTGCATCGGCCGACTTCCGGCGGTTGGAATGCCAAGAACGGGAAGTGTCTGGAATGGCGACAAAGCGGCTGGCCCGGTAGGCGGTGGGGTTCCCAGCAGGGTTCCGGGCGGGCGGTTGCTCAGCTCTCCATTCTGTGCTGCCTTGGCGTCTCAGACTGCACTGAAAGGTCCTTGCCTAAATCTCGGTCTCCAGCCCTCGCCCACGTTTTGAGTGTGGGAGGGTGCGAGGTGCCTGAAGAACCCTGGATCTTGTCTGTGCGACCTTGAGCCCGTGCCTGGACCCTCTAGACTCTGGGAAGCGCCTGGACAAGACCGCACCCCGTAGCTTGTTGGGAGGTCTCAGGCAGACGCCACTGCAACCATCAAGCTGTTAGCCTCTCTACTTCCAAGTGATCCCTCTAATTCCTTACATGAAGTACATTATGGCTTTCTCTCTGATTTCCGGATATGCTGTGCACATTTCTTATTTTTAGTAGCAATGTAATGTATTAGTGAGCATGCTCTTCAGAGTTGGACAGGCCTAGGTTGACATATCAAAGCTGTGTTGTTTCACCCATCAAACGTGTAGCAAAATTGTCTTTCCTCCTAGATTTGTTGACCAGATGAGGCTTTCATCTATCTTAGTTCAGTGGTAAGCAATAAATGCTGTTAATCCCAAAGACCTACGCTTCCCACACACCTCTTTAAAAACTACAAGAGGTATCTGCTTAGTTAAAACTATCTGCTACAAAGTTTTCACGCTTGCACTTAAAACCTCTGTAATCCCGTCCCTGTCTTCGGACTTTCGCATCTGGCCTTTGGGAGTCCTCTATCGTAGATCACCATGCATTGGTTTCGTGGATGTCTTTTTCTCTTTACCAGATTTTTAAAATTTCTGGAAGATGTCCTAGGACCATGCATTATGTTATTCTTACAACATTCTTCAAAACCATGCTGTGTTACCATATATGTTACAAGTACTTGAAAAGTGCAAAAAGTAAAGATTTCGGTGCATCCTTATCTCTACAAATTTGAGTTCCTCAGTATTACTGTAAAATACACTAAGAGGTGCAGATGAAATTAACCTTCGTTTACAAATATGAGGCTATGCAAGTAAAATGACTTTGTAAAACCAAAAAAACATGGTAATACAAAAACCCAGATCTTCTCTTCCTAAAGTTCAGTTCAATTTCATTTCAGTCACAACAATTAATGAACGTTTTGCCATTTGTGCACTTATACTATTCAAACGAGAGTGTGGGGACTGGGGATTTAGCTCAGCGGCAAAGCGCCTGCCTGGCAAGCGCAAGGTCGTGAGTTCGGTTCCCGGTACCGGAGAAAAACCAAACGAGAGTGTGAATGGGTTCGTTGATCTTATTGGGTTGCTTTATATTTTGTAGGCAGCTTGGATTAATTAGGAGAAAATCAAACACACCAGCAAATGAGAATCTAGGCAGAAACAAATCCAGTAAGTATTGTGCTTCATTTCCCTACATCTCATAGCCTGGCACTTTGGCACTGGTAAAGCATAACACTCTAATCGTTTTGCAGAGCAATTATATAACTACGTAATTGTCATTGATTTTGAGTCTACATGCTGGAATGATGGGAAGCACAACAGTAGCCCCGAAATAAGTAAGTCTGGACTTCAAATGACTAAATTTAGCATTGGATGTGTCATTTTCAAGGTTGATATAAATCAGCCAACAAACTTTGCCAAAGCAGTGAATTTCAGCCTTCATATGGTCTTCATAAATATAACTAGATATACACAGAATTTCAATACTTTGATTTATTCTTTGGCTTAACTTTATATTGACTTGGTCATAATGCTTTTACTGAAGTTTTTTTTAGTACATGTTTGTTATACACAATATATCGTGGGGTGTTGGTACATGTACATCTGAAACTGTTCAGTAATGCTATTATGACAATATTATGCACTTAATTTAGAGTGACTACAGCATTAATTTAGAAATTGTTTGTTTAAGTGTTCCTTTATTCTTTCACTTAGTTGAATTTCCAGCAATATTGCTGAATACATCAACTGGAGAGATTGAATCTGAATTCCATGCTTATGTTCAGCCTCAAGAACATCCAGTTCTTTCTGAATTTTGCATGGAACTAACGGGCATAAAGCAGGTATGATCACAAATTCAATAATGAGTTTCAAAATGAAAATAAAAGTTATACACATTTGAAATTAGATTTCTTTAGTGTTAGAAGAAAATGTTCCCCTCCAGAAATCCACAGGATTTTTAAAAATAAAAAAGATTAGTGTTACAAACAGGAAGGTCAGGCCTGGGATGTATAGCACAGTGTTACAGTATGTACCTAGTATGTTTGAAGGCCTGAGTTTGGTCCTCTAGCATTGCAGGAAAAAAAGATCAAATTTACTTTGTGGAAGTAAAATGATTCAGATTTAGTCTATACCAGTGATGGTGAACCTTTTAAAGCTTTCTCTTTTTTTTGTCTTTTTGAGACAGAGTCTTGCTGTGCAGTTCAGGCTGACCTTGAGCTCACTTTGTAGCCCAGGCTGGCCTCAAACTCAATGATTCTCCTGCCTCAGCCTCCTGGGTGCTGGGATTACAGGTGTGTGCCACCTTGCCCAGCTAGAGCTTTCAGTGATAGCAAACAGCCTGCTGTGGCATGCATGCCATAGGTTCACCACTACAGATCTGTGTGATTATATTTGTGTGATTTTAAATTTGTTAACCTAGTTTTTCGTACCTTTTGAGTTCTAATCGTGATATTTCTCTACCGTGTATTTTCTTTAATTTAATTAATTAATTAATTAATTTTTGGTACTGGGACTTGAACTCAGGACCTTGCACTTGCCAGGCAGGCACTGTGCCACTGAGCTATATCCCTGGCCCTCTCCCATGTGTTTTAACATCTTTTCAGTAAAGTTTTTGCTAGTTAAAACTTCTTTATTAATACTCCAACAATGTATAGTTATATACTTGATAATTGTGAAATTCGTTATTCAATTCAGATTTTGTGACTGTCTAATCAGGCTCAAGTTGATGAAGGAGTCCCTCTGAAGATTTGCTTGTCTCAGTTCTGTACATGGATTCATAAGATTCAGCAACAGAAGAAATTTTTTTTTACTGCCGGGGTTTCAGAGCCTTCTACTTCTGAAGTAAAATTATGTGCATTTGTCACTTGGTCAGGTAAAAATGAATTATGCCTGTTAATCACAAACGGGTAGCATTACCGTTATGTAATTGTTTATTTCTGGTTTCACACTTGCTAACCTAGAATTAGACTTGTTAACTTCCTGGGCCAGGAAAAGAATCTCACTTGCTAGCAGATGTCAACCAAAACAGTAAATTCATTTGTATTTTAATATTATGGTTCTGGAATAATTTAAATTTTTAAACCTTTGCCTTTAGAATCTTTCTAGGTTCCTCTCTCTCCTTCTAAATTCAGACAAAGATAATTTCGTAAAAAGTCTTATGCTATTTATTGCAGCCTTGAATAAAGAGTCTTCATTCAGCTAAAATCCTTTGCCTTTGTACTTATACTTACAAATATAGACAAGAAGAAATGAACCATTTAAAGTAGTAGGTCTTGATGATGCAGCATTGTTAGTACTGTAACAGTCATTGATAGCAGTGTTTATACCCTTGATAGCATAGGTTAATAGTTCTATTTGGCCTCAAGTTGCTATAAAATGTGGTTTTTCAATTGCACTAATGTTTTCCTAGTGTATAGGAAATTCAGCTGTTGTTATTTAACATCGTACTTTTCTTTCTGAAATAGGGTTTTGTTGAATGCATAAGAAATCATTTTGAAAGTTCATCACCAATGTAATTTCTTAATAGTAATATAAAGTATAAAGTAATACAAAGTATTTCAATGTTATTAACAGCAATTAAATCCTACTGTTCTATTTTATATCATCTTGTTCTATTTTAATGTACTTAATGAAGACTGGGACTTGGGTGTTTGCCTGGAGTATGAGTGTAAAAGAAAACAGCTGTTAAAACCTGTGTTCTTAAATTCTTGGATTGATCTTAGAGCAACTTACAAGGTAAGGGTCAAAGATGACATGGTCACTTTCCTTCTTTTGAAAAATAATTACATTTTATCTACACATGGGTTTCCGTAAATAAAATTTTTTTGTAAATGCTCACATACATATTTGTTGTAAGCTGTTTTAAAACAACACAACAGAAATAAGCACATTCCAAATCTAATAGAAACAAAAATTACATAGCCAAGTGTGGTGGCGCATTCATGTAATCCCAACGCTCAGAAGGCTGAGGCAGGAGGATTGTCATGAGTTTGAAACCAACTGGGCTACATAGTGAATTCAAGGCCAGCTTGAACTACATGGCAAGACCCTGTCTCAAAACCAAAAAAAGAAAAAGAAAGATTACAAGAAATAATTGGTTAATGCATAGTCTTTCAAACAGTAATCATATTTTTAGATGTCTTTTTTTATTTGATTAGCTTTTCTATAGAAGAAAACCAAAAGGACTAAGTGGTGCCTTGCAGGATGTGGGAATAGAATTCTCAGGAAGAGAACATTCTGGTTTGTATAAATTTAAAAATCCTTTTATTATGTAAGGCAGTTGACATTTATAAAGTCTTTCACATGAGTCCCATTTCTTGGCAATGCCATTAATAAGGAATATCCTTCAGCTTAAAAAGAAAAGATCCTAGTCTGCAATTCGAATTGTTTCTGGGTTTTAAATTATCAATTTCTTGAACTATTTAAGATAAAGACTGCCATCTAGTGGATTTCTAGTTGCTAAAAAGAATGGAAAGAATTTGTGTAGCCACCTCAGTTGAAATTACACAAGTGCCCCAATAATACAATAAACTAGTGAAAAGACTGAACAAGAATATTTGATTATTCAAAAATCATGGTCCCTGCAGATTGCAGGTCACATTTTTGGAAACTATCTAACTGATTTTCACATTATTCTCTAAATATAGGAGATTTTGTCTTTTATTGGTAATGCAGCCACAATTTTCCCAAAGACCAATTTAATTTTGTTAAAATTAGTAGATAATCACTAAACTAGTATGTCAGTATGTCTCAATTTCTTAGTAATTTTTTTTCTGTTATTTACACTACTACCATAAATTCAGCATTTGATATCTATTTCCTCAGGGTTGGATGATTCTCGGAATACTGCTCTTCTTGTTTGGAAAATGATCAGGGATGGTTGCCTAATGAAAATTACAAAGTCTTTGAACAAGGTGAATGGTGTCTTGCCTTTTTATTCTTTCATCTCAAACTCAAGTATTTGTAGATTCATTGAAATGTGGATTTCATGTATGTGATCACTTATAAACCAATGACTTTTTGTCATTGTGTATCTACATGTCTACATGTCATTGTGTATCTACATGTCTACATGTCATTGTGTATCTACATAGTGTATCTACATGTCTACAGAAATTATAAACGGTTTCTGAAGATGTTGTATTTTCTGTGAAATCATAGGTTCCCAAGAAGAATTCCAACATTTTGGCCAGAAGTTGGAATACAAATCAAGTTGGAGAAACATCTGCCTGCAACTTTAGCATCCAGGGTCCCAGAATAAATGATAGGGAGTCTAAAAATTCAGTAAGTCCTCAGGAAAAAATTCAAATGAATTCCATTTGTATGAATTCCCCTATAAGAGTACCGAAGCATCAGTTACTATCAGAGAGCAATACGAAAGCCAGTCTTCACAGTATGAAAAGTTGCTCATCTGTTTTTAATACTAAGCCCTCTACTTCTCAGGAACAGTTTCAGTCTCACAGCCTGAATTCACCTATCTATGTGCAGAACCAAAGAAAAAGTGAACATCTTGCATTTAATACCAAATCCAAGTCTTCAACATATGGTTCAGAATTGGTACTTGTTTCTACCACCATTCCATCTGTTAATCATGTTTCTGATATGGATATGAGTTCTACAGTTGACTGTTTACCTGTGTTGGCAAATTGGAAAGATGTGGTTTTATTGCCAGCATCTCAGCCTGAGCAAAATATAGATTGTATACCTCCTTTTAGTGACACAAATTTAGATACTTCATTTAATTCTGGAGAGACATTGATGGTTTTAAAAGAATCAGAAGTGCCAAGTTCTGAAAAACTTGAGGGCATCAAGGAAACTCCTAAAACATTTGAGACCTCTAAGTCTTTTGTATACAAGAGTCCTCACAATACAGTTTATAATGTAAAAGAAGGCATACATCCAGGTTCAAATGCTTCTACCTTTAAATTACCTGCATGCAAATCACATACCTTCAACAGTGTTAATGTCAATGCATCTGATTATTCAGCTTTGGAGAAACACCCTCTTTTAGGTGGTACTAAAAGGAATTCATCTAATCTTTCAGCTTTCCCACCAGCTAAAAAACAGACACTCATTATTCATGAACAAAAGCCTACATCACTTGATTGCTCCCCAGTAAGAAGTTCTTCCCGAAAGGTTCTCCCCTCTGTATTAACAGCTACAGTTAATCTGCAAGAGCCTTGGAAGAATGCAAAAATGACACCTCCTTTATGCAAGTGTGGCCGAAGATCTAAGAGACTTGTTGTTTCTAACAATGGACCAAACCATGGAAAGGTCTTCTATTGTTGCCCTATTGGGAAATACCAAGAAAACAGAAAACCTTGTGATTATTTTAAGTGGGAACAAACACTTCAGAAGGAAAGAATCAATAGGATAGCTCACTCCACAGGGAGTCTCACTTTTAGTTCTCCAAAAACAAGCTATATTCATGACAAAAATTTAAGTTTTTCTGCTAAATATTCTTTGAGACTCAGACCTTCCTTAAGGAATTGATAAACCTTCTTCACATCTAAAGTATGTTCTTCAGTACAACTTTTTAAAATTTTGTTTTTAGTGCTGAGAATTGCACCCAGGACCTTCACAATGAGGTACATCCCCACCTCTTTTTGGTTTTGGTTTCAGTTTGTTTTGTTTTGAGTCATTGAGTTTTCCAGGTTGTGTTTGAACTTGTGATCCTTCTACTCCAGCCCCCTAGAGTGCTGGAATTGCAAGCTTGTGTCACCATTCCTGGCTTCAGTGTAATTTTTAGTGCAAGAAAGATTTGAAAAGAAAATACTGTGGGGCTAGAAGTTATGGAGACTTAGCATATCTGAACTCTGTGGACTCCATTGGAGGAGTGGTACACACACAAACTGAGAAAAAATAAATTTCATAACATTTGACTTTCATTTACCAGTTGTCTAACATTCATCTTGTTAATATATAAATCCTAATGGTGCTTAAATTTCCAAACATTAATATTGTGATATCTTGCACAATTTTATGTTTGATATATTAATATGAACTAATTTATTCATATTCGCACTTGCTTTCTATTTTCAGTGCTAGGGATGGAACCCAGAGCCTCACACATGCTAGGCAAGTGTTCTACCACTGAACTACATCCCCAGCCTATCATATACTCTTGAGAAATCATAAATAAAATATTTTGATACTGTACTAGGTTAAATACAATAAGGAACAATAGTTCATGATATCTTTTATAGTTCAACCTTGAACCAAATTTTAAACTATCTTTAAAATAATTTGAATAAAATTCCCTAGTCTAGGCCCTGTGTTGCACACACCTTTAATCTCAGCATTTGGGAGGCTGGGGCAGGCAGATCACCATGAGTTAGAGACCAGGGTGGGCTAGATAGTGAACTCAAGGCCAACCTGAACCATAGGGTGAGGCCTTGTATCTAAGAAAAACCTATCTGTTTTCAATTAGTTACTTTGACGATTATGATAACCTGATTTTTTTTTTTTTTTCCTAAAAACTAGCTGTGTGTGGTGGTGCACATCTGTAATTCCAGTTCTTGGGAGGCTGCAATTGATGTGAGTTGGAGGCCAACCTAGGCTACATAGTAAGTTCAAGGACAGCCTGAAATAAATAACATACCTAGTTTTAAAAAGCAAAAAATAGATACTTAGAAGTTGTTCAGTTGTATTTTAAGTTTTGGAAGTTGGTTCTAATTTGTATATCAACATACTGAAATAATTCAACTAAAGTTTGAAAACCAATAGAATGGAGATTTGATTCAGAAACTGCTTCTGTGCTATACATTCGAAAATTCTTCAGGAATTGATGACATTCGATTTTATGTTAACTACTTATAGCAGCATTTACTGAATGCAGAGTAATTTAGTGAATATTTTATTTCAAAATCTGATGTCATAACCGTAAAATGTCTTCACTCAACAGTTTGTAAGCATTCTACCATATATTTTTACCACCTCTTCATAATCTTATGGTTTCCATAGATTTATAGATACCATGTTTGTTTCATAGATGCTATAATAATTAATGGAATAAATTTAAATTGTTTTCCATTCTTTTTCCCTAAGTTCATTTCTTTTTATCTTTCCACTGATGGTCTTTGGCAGCTCTTCAATGAATTCTACCTGTTGGTATCAAGAGAAAAAAATTAGATCAGAAGTTTTTATCTTTAGATAAAGCCAATTATTATTTTTTAGATAAAGCCAATTATATCATGGTTTTATTATGGATTTTATGTGAAAGAAAGGGTACCTACTGGGGTTGGTTTTTGATAAAGATGAAGAAGAAAGGGAGTATTGTTGAAATTTTTCTCTTCTTTGTTTTTTGGGGTTTTTAAAAAATTTGCTTGTGGTACTACTGATTAAATCCATTGAACTATATCCCTAGCCCTGTTTTTCATTTTGAGATAGGCTCTTGCTAAATTGCCCCGGCTGGGCTCAAACTTGTGATCCTCCAGCCTCTGCCTCTCAGAATACAGTGATTACAGATGTGCCTCATCATGCCCACCTGGTTTTTCTTGGTATTTAGTATTTACTACAAGTCCAGTGAGCCAGATGACCAAATAAATTAGCTTAAGAGTGTTGCTGTAATCTCAACAATTCTGATTCTTATCTGTACGTTGTTAGTTCCATTTGAAATATTTTGTAGCATGTTTGAGGAGAATGTTCAGTGAAAAGGAAAAAAGACATCTGCAAGTTTTTTTAGAGTGCTAAATAAATATTTATCATAATTGGGATGCCTACCTTTCTGGGATATTTGTAAGGTGCTGTAGTTTTTTTTACATGCTCCTGAATCTCCTTTATCAGTTGCTCTTGATCATGTGATTTGTAATCAGCATTCAGAACAATAAAAGCCTTTACTACCTAAAATAATGAAACATCAGAAAGAAGAGTTGTATATTTTTGTTTTATTTTGTTTTAGAATATCTTTTCTAAGAATCTTCATGATTGGTGGACTGAACCAGATGGTTAAATAGGGTTTGATCCCAGCCATGTAAGTTCCAGACCTGATCTATACCCTATACAAGAAAGCCTCTAGGAGCTGCTTTGCTTATGACCTGCTTTTAAACCCTCTCATCCAGTTACAACTTGAAATCTGCATTCTGACCTGTTTCTGATTGTATCTGTCTTGACTTTTTTGCCTCACCTTTTATCTCCTTCAGTAAAATTTCTTCTCAGAAAGTTGGGAATGCCCTAAGCCTCTCATGTAACAGCACAGTCTGATTCAACCTAGCTACTAGGACCCTACTCTCAAGATAGTCCTTATAAACATTAGTCACTCTGGGTTTGCCATATCTTGTTGAAGGGAACATCTCGCTGAGACCATATTCTCTTTGAAGTGGCTTTGAAGATTTCAACAGCCACTTTGCTGTGCTCTGACCCACTTACATGGTTGTGGGTCATGGTTACCCCACCTTGCTGTGCTCTGACCCACTTTGGTTCAAAGGAACAAGAGTGAATGTGGTGGTAGCTTAGCTCTGGCAGAAGACAAGATATAATTCATCACCTTCTGCTTACACACCCTGTTACCCAAAGTTTATTGAAATATTTTGGGAAATCCTGCCTAGAGTTTTTGGACCTTAAATGGAGAAGACAGAAAGGCCATACCTTACGTATAGCTCCCTTCAAGGGTGTATTTGGAGTCTTGTCAATCATGGTGTCTCCTGGGATACTGCTGGCATTACCATTCACTGCTTCCCATGGAGGCATGACTGAATGAATCAAGTGGTACCTAGCACCTCCATATCCAGATTGCCAGCCATGGAATGGCTGCAGGGGCATAGTCCCATTAGTTCCTTCCAACTGTTTTATGATTAAATCCTGCACTTAGGTGACTGAAATATTAAATCTATATTTTCACATGTGTAGCTTAAAGATAAACTGGCGGCATTTTCTGTATACCCTGATCTGAGAGGATTGATTGAAAATGAATTATTTGAAACAATAAATCACTCAGGACAGCCACTTGTTGAGAAATGAAGACTTGCAACTATAAATTTTTTACATATTAAAAATTATTCACCAAAAATAAATAAAAAAATAAAAATTGTTCACCAGTGAGCAATTACTCATTTTTGAGTTTTAAAGTTTAAAACAACTGGAAGATTATTTAAAATAGTCAACAGCATGAAAACCCTTGAATGTTTCTAGTTACCATGTGCCATGGGCAGTTGTGCAGCCTTGTGTGCATCTGAATATGGATAAAGTTGTAACCTATTCACTTTAACATTTTGTAAAATTTTTTTAGGTAATGCTGCCTTTGTGGCTTTATTAACATTTTTATGAATTTAAAAAATCCTTACATAATTTGATTCAAAGGCAAATTCTTTTTAAGACTTTGCTAAAAGTCTTCACAAACTATTAAAAAATATTAAATTAAGGAACATAATTAACATGGTTAAGGGTATGAACTTGGAAGTCCGACAACCTAGGTTCAAATTACAATTTGTTCTAAAATATTGGGCAAGTTAGATCATCTCTGTATGCCTCGGTTTCCTTCTCTGTCAGAGTTACAAGGATTAATTAGCACAGATGGAGGATTTAGAGTAATGCCTAGCACATGTTAAGTTATCAAAAATGATAGCTGTGAGATGCAAGAGTAAAAGTACTAACAGGCTTTGATTTTTATTTTTTAACCTAAAAGTTCATATGTGGGCTTCTGGAATTTGAGGCAAAATCTTAAATTTTTTGGGGGAGAGTCTATGGACATGCCATTTAATATGTAGCTACTAACTATGTGATTATTTAAATGAATTTCAATTAAATAAAATTAAATGTTCTCAGTCACACCAGCTGCATTTCAAGTGATTGATAGCCATACGTGGTCTTATATTGGATGTTGCACATGTTGCAACATGTTGCACATTGCTATCATTGCCTTTTTCAAATTCTCAAGAGGTGTGTGATCCAGAAAATTTAGGATCCTAGTCATTTCAACAAATATTTCTCATCTTTATTTCACATTCTAATGTTAAAATAGTTTTAAAGTTAAATATTATTTTCAGAAATAACAGTTACAAACTGTCCATTCCTTTATTCCTATTGGAAATTTGGTCTTTAAAGGAGGCTTATAGAAAGAACACATTTTAAAAATTGTGAAAATATAGTTAAATAGATAAAATAATCCCTTGAGAGAAAATGAAAGCAGAGTAACCATGTAAAATTCCTAAAAATGTTACAATGTGAAAATCAACTAAAAATGTATTTAAAAAGATATCCAAATAGGAGTTAAGTTATGAAAATAATTCAGTTTAAACCCTATTTGCATTTGGATAATTTATCAGAGAAAAAATTAAATATTTATGAAAACTCAAAGTAGCTATGTTTATCTGATAGTGTTAGGGAGTTTTAAAGTTAAAACAACTGCAGGATTATTTAAAATAGTAAATAGCATGAAAATGTACACACTATTGCTAGACTATGGTAGCTAGATAAAAGTGACCAATATTTGGTATATTGCCCTCAAGTCTTCATTTTATATGTTTTTGATCAATCCTGGGACATATTCTCTAATCAGAGACCTGACTGATCCAGTAACCTGGAGAACAAGCCAGCCTAGCTAGAAGAGGGTTGCTACCAGAAAGAAAGAGCTGTCTTTTTCAGGCAGCACATGGTCATTTTGTGCAGTGCACCTCATTTGAGATATCCACCTGCATCTTCTACCTGGAAATGTCGCAGCCCACCAGTGTTGGGAACCTGGCCAAACCTTTCCCTTTGCTGAGGCTAATCTTAGCCCTGTGTCAAGGTCATCCTGTCACAACTAAGTACCTGTTTAGGTATATAAGACTGATGCTAATAAAGAGGTTTAGTAGGTACTGAGACTCATGAAACCTTGCCAGTGCAGTCAGTGAAGAGACAAACTTCAATAATCACTGGCCGATTTCTCTGCTCTCATCCACCTGCAATAGTAAATGGAGACCGCCATCCTGTCAGCTTTCCAAACGAGCAATTGCCAGCCACTGGTCAATTTCCAAAACAACACTGGGCCATTCAAAAAGACTTGTGGGTTTTTCTCTGAGATCAAAGATCAGTTAGGAGAATCCGTCTTGGAGGTGATCCACCCTCACTGTATATCAACACACACCTCCTACTCTTACCTTAGTAACTTACTTAACCCTTTATTGAATACCTTGTAACCTTGCAACCTATCTGGGACCTCGAACCCTACATTAGGATTTGAGATAGTAAATTAAATACATGGTACAAGAAGTTCTGCACTTGCACTGACACCACTGTCATCTCCAAACTTGTTTCAGTACTAGAAGACATACGGGTTGGAGAAATATTTGTGCGAACGTGTAGCCCACCTCATACAAACCCTGGAGGCATGCTGTAGACACCTAAACAAAATCCAGCAGGCTCTGCCTAGCTTAAGTGGCCTGGAGAGTGGCATGGTAACTTTAGGCCCAAATTACCATGTGGCCATCCACAGCAGTGGGTTTTCAGGACTCGGCTTTGCTTATTTCCCAAAACTACTACTTATCTGCCTGCCCAACCTGCTCGTATTTGCCTCTGACCTTCCTCTCACCTCTGATACCCAACATCAGCTCACCCTCCTGTGCAATATAAGGACTTACTGGCTTCCAGACTTCTGGAGCCCCATCCTGGAGTGAGCTTGCATTATTGGCTTCCATCCCATCTTTGCTCCAGCTCTTCATAAAGAGATTCAAATTCATTCTAGTATATGCTTTTCAATCTTACTTGGTAGCAGTTCTTTCTAGCTAGCATGTTTTTGTCTAACTTGCATTTAGTCAAAAATTTCTATCTGACTTGTATGTTTTATGAGGGAAGCATTTGTGTATTTGTTTCAGCAAAGTACTATTTCACAGTATGCATTAGATTGCCAACAAATTATAAAGTTGAGGTGAACAAGTTCTTTTACCTCTCCTCTGATGGGGTCTGGGCTACTGACAACAGCTGACTCTGCAACTGAAGGGTGCTCCATCAGGGCACTTTCTACTTCAAATGGTCCAATTCGGTAACTGGGAAGACATTACAGGCATTTATAAGGGTGAGTTAGATAGTTACTCAAGAATTCTGATGGTCCATTGACAAAGACATATTTGCAAATGAAGAAAAAAAATTACCCAGAGGATAATATGATATCATCTGATCTTGAAACAAACCAGAAATATCCATCTTCATCCATATACCCTCTGTCCCCAGTGATATAGAAATTGCCTCGTTGAGTTGAAGCTGTTTTTGAAGGATCATCCTACCAAAATAAAGAACATTTGTTAATATTATTTTGAATGTGACTGTTTGTTTCAGTTGGATGCCTAAATGTTCTAAGAAAAAGAAAGTATGGCTCCTTTGACAAGTTTAGAATGAAAAGGAGCCAGTGTGAAATAGCGGTGAAATTCCAGCATGGATCTAGCCTAACATAAGAAAGGTAAACTGCAGTTACAGGGACTGGCCACACTCTTCTTGAGACTTTCCTTAGATCAGAAAATCAGTGTTGCAAGAGCTCAGAGCTCAGAGGAGTATGCTACCTTATATCTTTTGCTGGTTGATTAATACTGGTGGGAAGAGAGATAAGTGAATACTCAGTTAAAAGAAGGCACTGACACCTAGTAATTTAAAGAGCAGACAAGTTTTATTTCATCTTACATAAAGAAAAAACTAGTTCTATAATTTTGGCATAAGAGGAAAAATGAAAAATTGTGACATGTAAAGTTAACTGGTGAGAACTTGTACTTGGACCTTTTATTATATTGCCATAAACTTTGCTCTAATTTGTATACCATGATGGGAAATGAAATATGCTTGCAAATAGGAGCTAGAAATCCTCTAATGGAAGGGATTTACTTAATTCCACTATACTATTCCTATTTTTCCTGCTCCTTCCAATCAAAATGGAGAGCACTGGGAACGAGTCTTAGTTAACAGTTAAAGGATCAATGGCTATTAAGAGCACATAGGTCTTTCCAGGGCTCATTTTCTCTTGGCTTGGTGGTGATCTAGGCTGGGGGGACCAGTGTGCTCTTAAGCAAGCATTTGGATGATTCTTCACTTCCCTGTCTGTGGAATTACTATTGAGGACAATGAATTTCTCAAGAAAGGGACAAGGGGCTGGGGATTTAGCTCAGTGGCAAAAGCGCCTGCCTGGCAAGCGCAAGGTCGTGAGTTCGGTTCCCGGTACCGGAAAAAACCAAAAAAACAAACAAAAAAAAAGGGACAGATACTTAGGTGGATTTGGTGACAAAGAGATAGTCATCAAGCACTTTTGAGAAATAAATAGAAAATGTGAGATTTGCACAGTGTTTCTTACTACATAATGAGTAAAAAGGCCACATGGTCGGTTAGGTAGAACTTGAAGACCAATATCTCCTTCTTGTCCGGGAGGTAGAACATTGCCATTTTCATCTAAAATCTAGGATAAAATATAACAATTTAAGAAAATCTCTATTTTCACACCTTAAAGCTTAGTTTTACATGTTATATTTATCTTGCCATTTAAGAATACAGACTCAAAAATATTTTAAGTATACTTAAAATTTCTCAGAAAAATTGTTTATTTAAATTATTATGGCATAAAATAGTATCAAATACAGATTATCAAAATGTGAAAGAAGAATAAAGATTTTCTGAAATACTATTATGTAGTAACAACCATATTTTGGTAATATCCTTTGAGATACCATGGACATAGAAAACAATAGAATTACTTTATAGTATATATTTTCACAAATAGTTATCATTTAGCAATATGTCTCATTAAAAACACAGTTTTGCCTGGCATGGTGGTGAACATCTATAATCCCAGGACTTGGAAGGCTAAGACAGGAGGATTACTGAACAGCCTGGGCTATATAGTGAGTACAAGGCTAGCCTGAACTGCAATAGTGAGACTCTATCTCAAAAATATAGGGGCTGGGAATTTAGCTCAGTGGCACAGCGCCTGCCTGGCAAGCATGAGGTCGTGAGTTCTATTCCCAGTACCTGAAAAAAACAAATAAATAAAATAAAAACTAAAATATCCCATAAATTTCAAGGTTCCACACCAAATGTATTAAATCAGTCCCTCCAGGGAAAGGTCCTGAGAAAATTAGTATTTTAAACAAGTAACCATATGACTCTTATGATTAGATCAGCTTGGGGAGCATTGATCTAGTAGTCTATAAACAATTCTAAATTTGGATTCAAGCTCTCTGCTCTAGAAAGTCATCCATTTTGCCTTTTGGTGGTTGTTGCTTTCTCTTGTGTATAGTATAAGTTCCTTTGACTATCCCTAGCTTTGAAGCTGGGTTGATTTAAGAATAATTGGGAAAATGGAATGCTCTGCAGCATCTAGGGGCAGTAACAGCTGTGGCTGCAGTAGAGAGAGAGAGAGAGAGAGAGAGAGAGAGAGAGAGAGAGAGAGAGAGCGAGAGCAAGAGCGCGAGAGAGAGAGAGCGCGCGCGCTCACCAAAGAGGGAGAGTGCTGCAGCCACTGTAAATCTGTGTCTGTTTTGACCCAGTTGATTCCCTTAGGAGGTCCTGACTTCCCTCACAAACGTGGTGTGGCACTGTGATTAAGACTATGGGTGTTGGATTCAGATTGCTTGATGTTCTTTTTTAGCAGCCACTAGCTGTATGACCTTGGGTGAGTTTCTTTACCTCCCTGTACCATCAGTAGTTCTAATGTTAGTATGTCTTTAGGTTCCTTCTGGGAATTAAATAGGTTCATATTTATAAAATGCTTAACCACATGGTAAAATAATAATGGAGACTATGAAACAAGCATTTCCAACCCATTTCCATTTTTGCACAGAAGTTAAATTATCATGGAAGTAACATGGAATCATCACCCAAACAAGGAGTGCAAGTGGAGGTAAGTGGGAAACAGGTTGGGTTGCTAAACATTCTCTTGATAGGGGATGAGCAAACCTTAACATCAAAAGCAGGAGAAGGTTTTCCCATTGAGCCAGGCTTAATTTTCATTCCCTTAAAATTTCCACAGATTAGCACCTAGTTAAGAAGAACAAAAAGTTAAGTAATACAAGTAATCTACAATTCATTTATTCAGCTGTCATGCATTCATTCAAAAATTATTTATTAAGAAATTATTATGAACTAGACTCAAATTAAAACAATATCTGCTGTCATGAAGTGTAGAGATTGACAAAACAAATATATATTAAAAGGTTATAAAACAATACATTTATAATTACTAAAATATCCATATTTATTAAAACATGATATTACACCACTACTGGTACTCATATTAACAAAATACTTATGCTGAGTGTGTTTAAATAAGTTGTCAATTTTTTTTTTTGAGGCAGGGTCTCACTGTGTAGTGCAGGCTGGCCTTGAACTAGCTTATGTAACCCTCGAACTCACAGAAATCTTCCTGCCTCAGCTTCTCCAGTGCTGGGATTACAGGCATGCGCCATCATGCCCAGCAGTCAATTTTGGCTTTTATGTATTTTTCATATTTTAATTATTGAACAGGTAATACATTAAACATTATAAGTTGAATCATAAACTGAAGCATTATAAAAAGACACATTGCCGTTTCTTTCAACCTTTCCTTTATCTACCCCATTTTACCCCTCCTTCTTCCATGAAATAAGCACTTTGGTTCTTATTGTATTGATTTTCTTTCGAATTTCTTCTTATTCGTAACTCTGTCAGCTCAAGAACTGTTTAAAATATGCTTGTGAAGAGTAAATTCCTTGCCAATTAGTTGTCCAATAGATTTAATATTTTAAGTAGTAAAGAGCCCCGCCAGCAGTTTCCACTTTGAGGCAGATCTAAGAAAGTTCCCTATCACGTAAGGGAGAATGCACTCTCTCAGTCCATTCCATATTTTTTTCATTTTTTAAAAAAACTGGAAGCAGGTGTGGTGGCATATGCCTGTAATCCTAGCGCTCTAGAGGCCTGAGGCAAGAGGGACGAGTTAGAGCCCAGGTCTGGCAATTCAGTGACTTAGCAAGACCCTGTCTCAAAATAAAAAAGGAATGGGAATGTAGTTCAGGGCAAAGGCCCTGGATTCCAAAAAATACTGGAAATGTCATGAGTCCAATATTCAGTACTGGCACAAAACAAACAAAAAAACTATAAGCTCTCACCCTGATCAGTTAAAAGCAGTTTTTCAATGAATGACTATTTTTTTTTAAATAAAAGAATGAAAACATCTTAACATACATTTAGAAAATAACACAAAAACGATACAAGCAATACAGAATTTCAGACAAGGTGATAGGAAATTAACAATGGTTTTTGTATTACATATTGATATCTTCATTTTGGATACTCAGATATAGGAATACAGACATGTAAGACTGATCATACACTTAAACATTAACTGTGAAAGAAGGGAAAAATATGTCTATACGTACACACAGGATAGCTAACATAGTTGTACTGCTGACTTTTATTGCTCTATTGAAAGGAACAGTTAATGCTTAAGTGTATGATCAGTCTTAAATGAATGACTGTTTAAACAAAATACATACAAATGAGGTTTCTTTGCAACTAGCTTCCCACAAACTTTTATTGCTATTTTAACGGTTTTCTAACCACGTCACTCCTTCCCTTATCTCTGAAATAGTCATAAGAACTATTGATGGTTTGTTTTTACTCATCTGACTAGACTGAGTCCAGCCCTGCGAATTCTGTGAGGTCAGGTACCGTTTCTGTCTGTCCGTATCCTTCATAGATATCCAGGCCCGTACTGTTTCTCCACTGTTCAGTCACCTCAGCGTTGATTGGTTCCCCAGCACTCACACAGTGCTTTAAACTTCTGAATTTCCAGCTTCTCAGAAAATAGGTGACAAGTCAGGTTTAGAGGAAAATGTATACAGAAGTGGAAATAAAAGCTTATTTCTAATACAGAAGAAACAAATCACTCTAATGCCATCACAGGCCAGGCGGGGAAGACGTAAATATTTCGTTTTGGTTTTGGTTTTCTGTGTGTGTGTGTGTGTAGGGGGAGGTAATTTGTTGAAAAGAAAAGCCGCGTTGACTTTAGGGAAGATACCCCATAATAGCATCTTAAATCAGCAATTAAAATTCCCTCACAGAGACTGGAAATATTGAGTGTGTTGAGTACAGTAAAACTTTCTTTTCAAATGACCAATTCACCCTTTCAAATAAAACTGGTAATAAAATTTAACACATTCATCCTTTTTATGTTTGCTCAGATAAGGTTCTAAGCAACTTTTCTACTGTCTTGGCTTAGGTAATAGCCATCATTCAAAAGATTAAATACCTTCTTACCCCTAACCACTGGGCTCAGAGTTATGGCATAACTGAACCTGCCCTTCCTTCCTCTCCTTGCTTGGGGGAGCCTGTCTTGGACACAGTGATCCTCATTTGCAGTGCGTCAGTAAGGAGAGGGAAGAAAAGGAAGAGATGGCCGAATCCCGCACCTGCTAGTCATGGCTCTGCTTTTAGGCAGAAAGTTCTTTTTCTTTCTGTCTTCCTCTTCCTCTCCCCTCCCATACTAATTGCCTATTTACCAATATTTCTTACCTTTTTATATTATTCTGTACAAGCATTCGGTATGCAGTGGGTGCTGAACAAAAGACTGTGATGGGAAACTCAGATAGTGTCTGGAATTTAGAAAAAGCAGACTTTATCTTCCTGCAATTTTAATAAGTGTTTAAATATCTGTAATAGGCACAGCAGAATGTAAATAGTCTTTATTTTAATGTAACTGCACTCACAGTTTTTTAATCTATCTTTTCAAGCTTATTGACTTTCCAGATATGAAATGTCTTAAATTATGCTATATATTCCAATTTCTGCATTACTTTATTTACCAGGCTTTTCAGTAACACTGCTAATTCATTTCTAAATATGGACCTCCTGTGCTCTGCCTTACTTGTAAGATGGAAGCTGGTTCAAAACGAGGCAAATGATGGGCAAATACACAGGCTCCTTGGATCCATGGAGAAAAAACACTGCTCCATGCAGACTTTGCCCAGCCTGTGTCTGAGGTATTCCACATCACGTCCAAAGGTGTCAAATCCAGCCAATACCTAGGAAAATAAAGAATGGCCCTGACGTATAAAGATGTAAACTTGTAGGCATTTGACAGATTTAAATGTATGTGTAAATTCATTACATTTGTAGGAAAACAAATTTAAAAGGCCAGTACACAATTTATTCTCCTTGCACTTTTGACACTGCAAGCTGCAGTTCTGTGGAAGTACCTTCCATTTACAGATAATCCTAAACCAAAACTGCTGTGGGTGTGTCCGATCATCTTCGGCATTCCAGTTGTTCCACTGGTAAAGTAAATGGCCATCATCTCATTGTGTTTAGTCTTCACACAGCTGTGGTTGTCACTGGCACACCTACAAAGGAAAAGCTACAATGACTGCATAATAAACACAGCATCAGAGATTGTTAACACTAAAAAGCATTTGTGAAACCCCCACTTGGACCTCCTCTTATAAATCAGGCTCCAGTGAATTGGATTTAATCCAAGTAAAAGCCACCTCTCTCCATTGTTTTTTACATATGTTTTAGAGTCAAAATAAACTTTGCCATCAAAAGCCCTTTTATAAAAGCTGATTTCATAGCTGTTTACTGTGAGTTAAAGGATTGAACCGTTTTTAAAAACTCAAGAATTGTGTCATACATACAGCAAAGTGAGGATTTTATGACTTTATAATCATGGATATATAAAGAACTTTCCCTTCCTCTCCATTGTAAATGCTTTAACATGTGATTTTTAAAAAATTGGTATGTTAATACAAGTCATGGTAATGGCTAGGATCTGTAAACTGTATCCCACAGGCCAAATCTGGCTCATATCCTGTCTTTGTAAATACAGTTTTGCTTTTGTTTTGGATTTTGAGACAGGGTCTCACTATGTAACCCAGGCTAGCCTCAAACTCCCTATGTATCCTGGGTTAACCTCAAACTTGTAATCCTCCTGCTTCACCCTTCTGAGTGCTGAGATTACAGATGTGTGCTACCATGCTACTAAATAAAGTGTTGCTGGCACAAAACCATGAGCATTGAGTGGTGTATTATCTGTGGTAGCTGTCATACTACATGGCAGTATTGAGTAGTTGTAACAGAGACTGTATTGCCTGCAGAAGCTTAAATGCTAAAGCCCCCGTGCCTTCTATTGAAAATGTTTGCCAGTTCCCAAAAGGATGGCCTTTTTTGTTTCCCATGAGAATAGTTTACGTAATAAACAATAAGACTGAAGAAGATATAAACATCCATCGAGAGGAGGACTCAGTAAAAGAGAAAGAAAACCTTTTAGTTCCAGAGAATAATTGGGCTTCTAACTAAGCCACACATTGCAACAGGTGGGAGGAAGTAAACTGCACATATGTACATCAGGTGTCTAAGAAACGTACAGATTTATCTGAGAGTATTGGTTTGAGACTGAATGAACAGAAACATTCACATCATGAGAAATACAGAAAATCTGTTTTCAAAGCCTAATAAAGCGAGACCAAGGTTTGAGCCCATGATTCCACAATTATCTTCCTTAAAAACTATAGCTGTATATTAATTGTTTCCATAACAGGTCTTGGTTGCCTTCAAGATCTAAGGTAAGGTTATTGCACCGATGTTTTACTAGAGATGGTAAATACAGACATTAGGAATGTGATTTCAGCGGCCAGCCTGCTTGGGTCTGAAATCCAGCTGTGCCAGATACTAGCGTTTGACCCTATTCATCAGTATAATTATAGTGCTTACACCCTAGGTTACTGTGAGAATTTGAAAGGGTTCATATATGTTTGGAACAGCTTCTGGCACATAACCAGTGCTGTATAAATGTTAGCTGTTTTTGCAATTATACTATTATTTTTATTAGAACAGTACTTGGTCTTTGGTAAGAAACCAATCAATATTAACTATTATATAGGCAGTATGAATAAGTCCACAGTTGCAAGCCTGCTCACAAATCCTAGAGTAGAAAGGTTGGAAATTCATTCTAGGAAGGGAATTTGCTTCCAAGATAATGCTGAGACATAACCAGTACCTGGAAAGAGTTTCAGATGGCCCCAAGAAGCACACCACTTCAGGGACAGAACATCCAGGTGGAGCCCTCTTTAGAAGTTGCCTTGGGTGAAGAGCTGCCTCAGTTCAAGGACACACCTCCTTCTAGGCATGGGTCACAGCCAATAACTGATCAATGTGAATAAAGGCCAGAGCCTCTGTCTTCAGCACTAAATAGCTTTAAGAAGTTGTCCAGGCTGGGCATAGTAGCACATGTCTGTCATCCCAGCACTCAGGAGGCTGAGACGGGAAGATCACCATGAGTTCAGGGCCAGCCTAAACTACATAGCAAGACCCTGCCTCAAAAAAAAAACTTGTCCAAATTCCTGAGGACCCTGTGCATTGGCTCAGAGTTTTGTAGGAAATATATTGCATATTAGTTTCTTCCTCTGCTCAATCCCACATCCTTTCCTTTCCTTTAAAGGGGTTGATTCCAAGAGAATTGTTTAATAAACTTCTTAAACATCAATATCCATCTCAGGTACTATTTCTGGGGATCTCAACCTACAAAATACACCTCAAGGCCTTACCCACTTCACAGCTTGACACTACTAGTAAAACAGTAATCACCAGATTTCCATTTGGCTGTTTTAATTTGCATTTGTCTGACCCCTACCAGGTTGAATATCTTTTTATTACTGCCTTTCTTTTGGGAAAGCTGTTCTACAATTAAGGCTACTTACTTCATCATCTCCTTGAGGTTCCCCCACCCCTGTCTGGACTTCTGAGACACAATTAGCTTGGAGTGCAGATTTTCACATTTGGATGCAATAGCATCTACTGCTGGAGCTAATATATCATCGGTGATAATGCACTTTGCTTTTGAAGATTGTAGTCTGTAGAGTATGTCTTTCTGGGTCAGCTGGGTGGTTCCCGGAATTAAAACTGTCCCTAAAGCAGAAGAAAAGAAATCTTTTAGAGAAAAGTTTTTCCTCCCTCCATCACTTTAGTTAGGGTAGATAGCACACGTGCGTTCTGTATTTCTCAGAATGAGTTACCAGCAGGGATATCTATTTGTCTCATTATTCTTCTGCTTTTGCCTTTGAAGGAGCATCAGAGCCTACAACTCTTATATAAAAAGGTATTACAACTTATATAAAAACTTATATAAAAAGGTATTACAACTCTAATATAAAAAGGTATTAAAAGCTGGATAATCATCCTCTATTTGAAGATCATCTGTAACATTGGGCTTGAAGAGAGGTTTGATTGAAAAGTGATGTTATCCAACATTTATCGAATACTTGTGTTCCTGGTGCTATTCTAAACAGCATTCGATAGTTCAGGGGTTGAACCCTGAAGCCTGACTCCAGAGGATAGTTAAGCACTTCGATCCAGTACTTATCATAATGTACACAATTGTTTCCTTTTTTTTGCTAAAGAAGAAGTTTTGAGGCATGATTCTTTTCTGTGGTTCTATTTCTGTATGCTTTAGATTATACTGTAAGTACCGTGTAATGGTTAAGAGTGTCCTAGAGCCATACACTTTTAAAATTTGGCCTTAAACAAGCTACTTCACCTCTCCAAACCTGAGTTTCTACATCTCTAAAATGGAGATTATAATTATATTATATCGTTTATATGGTTATTTCATGATTTAAGAGTTAAAGCCTGTAAAGAGTTGAGAATAGAATTTGATAAGTATTAGCTATTGTTTTTTCAAAAGATGAATGGGCTTTAAGTTTTCAAGTGTATGTGTGTGTGTGTATGTGCTTCAGTGATATAGTATATCCTCAAAAGTTCAAGACTAGCCTGAGCTACATAGTGAGTGTGAGGCCAGCCTGAACTGCATAGCAAGACTCTGTCTCCAAAAAACAAAACAAAACAAAAAAACCCTCCTAGCTTGAAGATTTATGCAAAATCTAGACAATGGTAGAGAGTACACTGGGTTCCAGTACTGACTTGCTGAGTCATCTTAGGCAAGTGGTAATTATATACTGAGACTTTGGTTATAATGGGATTTGGTTTATCAGGCATAAAAAAAATTTTGAAAATTAAGGTGTAATAAGAGTTTAATGTTGGCACTGAGGGTTATAGGACAGACCAAAGAACTGAGAGATGAAGGAAATAGATTGCCTCTCAAGAGCTAAACTATAAACTCAGCATAAAATAGGTCAGGGCAGAGCTACATAAAGTCACTCTAAACAGACAGTGATTCACAGTGCAGCAAGACTAACCTGTACCCGATATACAGGATGTTACATAGAATTTGCCTCAAAAGGGAGCACTGTACTGCTGCTTCAGAGCATAGAAAAAAGAAATTTTCTGGGGGCAAGTTGTAATAGTACCCATCTAAGTCTATGGAAAAACTCTCTGTGAGGCTTATGATGGATGAGGGGGCCGCTCACAAATGCCCACATTCGTACTGGTCTGTTGGCATTATCACCAGTTCACAGGTTATTTCCTGCTTGGAGCCTTTACATGTATTTTTCCATTTGATTAGAATGCTGTCATTACCTATACCTTCTCCCACTTACTGGCTCATCTCCCAGGCAAATAAGTTGGCATATCATTTTACACATCCTGTTCCATAAACATGGTACCAGGAGCCTTCTGGCCCCTGCACTGAGATTCAGAGCTTTTGTCTGTGTGCACTGACATAAATAGTGTTTGTCCTCCTGGGAGAATGATCAGGTCTGATCCATTCAGCAAGGTCTTGTCAATGCGTATTCAATAAGATTCTGGCTCTGTGGTCCTCAAACTTGAATATGCCTTGGTAGGTTTGTTGAAACGTAGATATCTGAGCTGCATGCCAGAGTTTTAGATCAGTTTAGTTTTAGGCTGGAAATTTTATATTTCTGACAATTTCCACTGATGCTAAGAAGACAAAATATGTGATCTAGGAAAAACATTGGCTAAGGGAGATGAATTGGATTGGAATAGAATTTAGGCATTCTTAAGATCAGAATTAGAAAGAGAGTTTGTGAATGCAGGAAGTGGTAAACTAACGGCAATGGAATTGGAGGAGAGAAAAAAAATTCTGGAGGCATGTAGAGTGTAAAATTTATGAGACGTAGCAACTTAGTAAGAAGGAGGAGTCATCAGGTGATTGTCTTAAGGCATCAGATGTATAATAATCATGCATGAGAGGCATAAAATATAAAATAAGACTTGCTGGGTTCTTTAAGTTTGTGGATTACTGAGTTTCAGATGACCATGGATCCTAAAAGAGGAAAAAGAAAGTAATATGAGGCTACTCAACTGTTGATTATCATTCACTTAGTAAGCAGATTGCATTGTGGAAAACCCAGCTTCTCATATAGGTCAAAAGGTGCAGTAGGTTTTCAACTCATTTCTAAGGCTGTTGAGAATACTACTCATCCACAGTTATTCTTCAAACAGCATACCCAAACAGATGTCTCATGAAAAGTCTCTTACCTAGCTTAGTTTAAATATTAGAGGATCGTAAGTATTACTAACCTGTTCGCAAACAGGCCACATTTGCAAGCCACCACTCTGGAATCTTGGGCAGAATCACAATTACTGGATCTCCCCTTTTCAGGGAACAAGCTTCTGTTAGTATGTTGGCAAATTTCCTGGATAATGATCCCAGTTCCTCAAAACTCCACCTCACCTCTTCTCCATTTCCATTTATCCACCAGAAAGCTGGATTGGAAGGTCTCTTTCCAACCTGAGGAGCAACAAACCAATCATAGATTTAGAGGTGGTTTTACAGTAAAATCCTATTTTAATCAACTTAATGAAATATATTCTCCCAAAGAAAATTCATAAATCGTTAGTTGGAACTTACATGGAGTTTATGTAAATAAAACTCTGGGGTCCTTATTTTTAGATTTGAGGAGTCATGTCATTTCTTCTAGCTCTTGTCATTTGTCATTTAGCCCGATAGTTTTTCCTCCCAGGAAGTAACAATTCTTGCATCCCTGTATATGTCTTTTAGTGCTGTATCTATGCTTCATTTCCTACCATTTCTGACTCTTGGAGTCAGTTTTCACTCTATCTCTTTTTGTCTTTTAAAAAAAAGTCAGCCTAACAAAATACATTTATACAACCCAGGCTTTCTCAACTAACCATGGAACTACTGACATTGTGGGTCAGATAATTCTTTATTTTATCCTTTAAAAGATTTTTAGCACCATCATTGGTCTCTACCCATTAGATGCCAGTAGCAACTATCCCCTCCACCTCTTATCCCCTCAGAGCAACAAAATGTGTCAGGCATTTAAGATGTCCCCGTGGCACAAAATTGCTCCCAGTGTAGAAATTAGAGTCTGACAAGCTTTTGTCCCATACCTTTTCCATATTGGTCCACTGGTCCAGGATATCTTCAGCAAAATTGAAATACTCTGGAATCTCCAGTTTGAAGTCTTGTTTCATGGACTCATAGCTGGAAAAATTCTGAGGAGTTGCTGTTCGGTAATCTTTATGCAAAGCTCTCACAGAACCAGAAATTGCTAGCCACTGAAGGCACCTTGCACGAAATATCTCCAAGGCAGCAAGAGGTAGCATTGTTGGATCTTTTAGCACTCAAGATTTCCATGGAAACTAACTCATCTAAAAGACAAGCAAAAGATATGCATTTACCTCTGTCCCAGAAGTACCCATATCCCAAAGCAGTTTTATTATTATTATTAATCAACATAATCATCGTAACACCATTTTCTGAATACTCCCTATATTCCAAACATTCTGCTCCATATTTTACAGACATTTTGCCAGTAAATCCTGAGTAACTCTATAAAGGGGTACTGTTGTCATTAATTTACAGATAGAGCAAACAATAATGGTTTTGGTTAGATTCAAACCCAGAACTATCTGATCCTAGCTCATTCTCCTGACTACTGTACTATGCACTATTGCTTCTCAGATGCATTTGTAAATAAATAAAGATCTGTGACACCTAGTTAATCTCACTGTTTGCAAAGAGATTTCTTAGCTAGTATCTTTCAAGTGCAGATTTCAAAAGTAATACATAAATATTAAGGAGGATTTTTCACAGTGGATAATCTATAAATGAAGAAACTGAGAGTAGCCCAGTACCAATTAGGCATGAAAGCACAGTTAAGGTTTATAATCTTGTTTATTTTATAGGCTGCAGTTCCCATGCTCCTAATAGGAGCCCACATTACCTTCAAGTCCAGGCTTGGGGTTGCGTTTGGTGGAGATGTAATAATAGGTCATTAACCTTTAGGGCTTTAGTGAGGAAGGCCTCTTGGGCCCACCCAGCCCTCCCTGCTTTGGTGGGAAATCATTTGATCATAATGTCAAGTTTACTTGATTATGGTTGTTAAAGACAGTTCTAAATCGGGCATGGTGATGCCTGGAATCCTAACTCAGAGGCTGAGGCAGGAGGATTGCAAGTTTGAGACCAGTCTGGGCAATTTAGTGACTTAGCAAGATCCTGTCTCAAAAAATAAAAAAGGTTGCAGATGTACAGTGCAAAGGCCTTGCGTTCAATCCCCAGGAATACTAAACAAAAACAAAAACCCAGTTATAGGAGCCATGAGTATGTGAGCCATGAGGTTCTTTCTTTATATGTCCAGTATTATTCCAAATTTCCTACAATGAAACACGTATTTCTATCTTTTTTATTGTTTGTTTTTTTTGTTTTGTTTTGTTTTTCTCCGGTACCAGGAACCGAACTCATGACCTTGCGCTTGCCAGGCAGGTGCTTTGCCGCTGAGCTAAATCCCCAGCCCTGTATTTCTATCATAATCATTAAATCATAACTTTAAGTGCAATTCTGGCTGTGTGGTGTGTAGGACAACTTGGCTATGTGGAAGCATATCTGGATTGATAAATTGCTAACACAATACATAATAACAGATACTAGCTTGTTTTTTACCCTACATGAACCTGGGGTTTGGCCTTTATAGGGATGTATTGACTGCATTGGTCAGTCCTCCTTTTAAGCCTTCCTCCTCTTCGTGTGAGGACCTGACAGGTCAGTGATCTCTTTGTTTATTTGTTTGTCTCGCTATGTAGTTCAAACTGGCCTTGAACTCACTATGTAGCCCAGGCTGGCCTTGAACTCACTGCAATCCTCTTGCCTCAGCCTCCTGAGTGCTAGGGTTACAGGTGTGAGCACCACACCCAGCTCAAATCATTGATTTTGAGCCCTGTAAGATGATGTGGTTTGAGTATCCTCATTTTTGACCTGCAGAGAAAGCTGGAGCCTGAGAAAGAGGAAGCAGCTGGCTTCAATCTGTCATATCAAAGTTAATACTAGCACTCGTGACCTGTGGATCCCCATTTGAATATTTTTACTTCAGTTCAATAGGATTTCAGTATAGTGATTCTCAATCCTGGTTATACATTTAAATCACTAGGACCCAGTACCGGAAAAAAAAAAAAAAAACCAAAAAACTAATTCACTAGGAAAAGCTCATTGAGAAGTTCCTGTATAAGCCTAAGTCTTGGACTATTTAAGTCAGCATCTTTGGGAGTGGGCCATGGGCCTTATATTTTTAAAACATTTCTTCAGAGGATTCTAATGCATAGTCAAGTCTAATGCATACTCATGTAAAACTTATGATCTATGATCCAGCAGCATCTTTTTTTTTGTTGTTTGTTTGTTTGTTTGTTTTTCCGGTACCAGGAATCAAACTCACGACCTTGCGCTTGCCAGGCAGGCACTGTGCCACTGAGCTAATCCCCAGCCCCCAGCAGCTTTAACCTGTGGAAACTTGTTAGAAGTAGTCTCTGGCCCCAACCCAGCCCTACTGCATGTTAACAAGACTCCCTGTGTGATTGGTGTGTGCGTTCACGGGTGAGCAAAATTCGCCTATAATGTGTTGGCTAAATCTATTAGCTAATCACAGTCATGGGATGAGTCCCCATTTTGGCACTTATGAACTGTGACCTTCTTTGAGTTATTAACTTCTTTTAATTATTAACCTCAATTTTACATTTTACCAAAGGAAAGAGTAATAGAACCTCATGGGAGATTGTCACAAAAATTGAAAACGATAATGCTTGCATTATACTGTGATGCCTGACATAGTATTCTTTATCAGAACATGGATTGCAAACCATGGTAGTTAAGGGTAAGATGGTAAATCTCTTGGGCTTTGTGAGCCATATGTGCTCTAGGTCAGTAATACTCAATTCTACCATAGTCATTGACAAGTCATAAATAAATTAGCATGACTTCATTCCCCAAAAGATCTTATTTATGATACTTAAATTTGAATTTCATATAATTTTGATGGGTCATGAATTATTGTTCCTTGTTTGATTGTTTTCAACCACTTAAAAATGTGAAAACCATTCTTGGTTTGCAAACTACAAAAAGAGGGATGTGGTATTTTTATACAATGGAGTATTACTCAGCTATAAAAAAGGATAAACTTGAGGCTTTTATATGTACATGGATGCAACTAGAGACCATACTCATAAGTGAAATAAGCTAGACCCTCATATATAAACATCATATTGTCTCCCTAGTGTGAAGAACCTGAAAGGGTAAATAAAAACTTAAAGGTAAAATAGATATTGTGAAAGGGAAAGAAATTGCTCAAAGGAAAGGAACAACTGGGATGAGGAAAAGGAGAAAAGAAAGAAGAGAAAAAAATATTTTGCATATATAAGGCTAGTTGGGATAATTGTACTGCTGATGTCTATTGGTTTATTGAAAGGAGCAGTTAATGCTTAAATCTTTTTTTTGACCAACTTTGCATGCTTATATCTGGTAATCGAAACAACTTGATCTTAGCCAAAGGGCTGAGAGGTGATATACACAAAAAAATTAAAAAGAGAAAAAAAGGTTACATTCAAAACCTTAGCATTACCTACTCCCTTCAGTGGAAGGAAATCCAATGCTAATCTTGTTAAAACAGCAGTGAAATAGGCAGATTATAACTTGCCAGCAAACAGCAGGGACCAGCAGTTCTCTCTACCAAGTGCCCAGTGGTAAGGAAAATTCTTTTAAGACAAACCATAACCATTGACTGATCAAATGGCCTTTTGAAAGTATTTAAGGTCTTACAAAAAATGCAGGCTATAGGGGCTGGGGATTTAGCTCAGCGGCAAAAGCGCCTGCCTGGCAAGCGCAAGGTCGTGAGTTCGGTTCCCAGTACCGGAGAAAAAGCCAAAAAAAAAAAGAGCAATCTAAAGAAAAACAAAAAAGGCTCTTAGTGCTGGACATGGTGATATACACCTATAATCTCACTACTTGGGAGGCTGAGGCAAGAGGATCAGAGTTCTAA